GGCCTTGTGGCCCAGCACGTCGTCGGGCGACGTGGGCTCCTCGATGAACCACGGCTTGTACTCGGCGAGCTGCTTCATGTGGGCGATGGCGTCGGACCCGGTCTTGTCCAGGGACGTGGGAAACCGCACGTCGCGGGTCCGGAAGCCGGTGATTGTGATCTCGGCCATTTTGAGCTGGGTAAGCTCTTGTACCGAAGGAGGGGGGTTAGTTAGGTAGAGTCTGGGATGGGAGGTGAAGTAGTAGCGAGAGTGAGAGGGAAAGGTGTTAGTGAAAGTCAATGACAAAATAATGAAAATGTAAGCCAAGAAGAAACAATGTTTTATTATATCGAGACAGCAGCAACAACAGCAACAGCAACAGCAGCAGCACTCAGAAGACGTGCCACCTCAAAGACCGAGATCGTGGGGTTCGTTGGAGGGGTTGAGCTTCGTGTGGAGAAGAATTACAGATGGGATTCGGGGTAGTTCGGTCCTCTACTATAAATACGGTCCTATGTTGTCTCTTTTATCAAGAGGTTGTTAGCTGCGGGGTTCGGTTATTAGACTGTACGTTTAACTAGACGGGCTATGTTTTGCAGAGGAGAGAGAGAAAGAGACTAGGAGAGAGACTAGGAGAGAGACTATGTTGAATAGCTCCCTTCGTCCTGATTGACGGATAAATTGGAGAAACACGCCGTCTCTAAGCTTGCTGTTTAGTAGCAGTACTCAACGCGTATCTTGAGCCGAAGTTCTTTATTTAGGTATTTCGAAGCCTTGATTTTTATGAAGAGAGTCTTGAGTTTACCTAATGTACCTAAGTTAACTATGGAGATTTGTGATCGTAACTAAATGCTTTTAGTCCTATTAAGAAAGTTGGTGATGATGATATTTCAAGGTACATCGGCTCGCCTAGAGATAAGCTCGTAGATCAAAGTACCGATTCCTTGGTGTACCTTGTAATTCACTTTTCGGGATTCAAACATCTCTTTCCCGAGCTCTGATAGGTTGATGAGGTACGTATTGGGACACGCTAATGCAGACTGCTTAGGTACATACAATCTTATGCCGGGGCTTCGGGGGCAGGGGGGATGCGCGTAGGACCAGGGGTTAAGGTATATTTATTACTGTCGTAATTAAGCCGTACTGTTTTCACTCTAACATCAACATGGGTTGGCATGAGAGAAACTAAGTGTTATAAAAGGCAGACTGAAATTGTGGAATATGGTTGAACTGTTTGCTAAAGAGGTAGCACGATATAACATTGTGTTAATGACGGTTCAATACGGCTTCTATAAAAGTGACAATTTGTAAGTTTGCTTGGTTCTCTTTACAAAACAATTAACCTAGAGACGAATTGAAAGAGGCTAGTTAAACTAAACTTCAACCTTTAGTTTATAATAAATCAACCCGTTCATTTAAATATGACAAGCGAGACGGCAAAAAGGATATATCTTTACCTTTTCCTCCCCAATCCCCTTCTCCCCCCTATTACCCCTATCCCTCGCAATGGTGCATACATACTACTAGTAGGATTCCATATACTAATGACTCTCCAATAAAAGTTATGCTTAAAAGGAATATATTATCCGAGAACTATCTCTGAGTTAATCATACTCCATATAGGGGCTTAAGACCCAATGAACTTGTACTTGTACTGATCTTTAGTAAAACTATATACGAACTAGCTATTGACAAATAAGAGAAAAATAAAGGAAGTGTCCTACGAAAACATGACTTCTCACGATCGTTGTCTTAGAGTTTTCATGGAACAATTTGGTCGTATTGCATTATTTCTTGTATCTTGATCGTATTTAAATCTCTCGGAATTCCTTCAATCTTTGAATCGTAATCTGCATCATCACAGTTTTTACTAAATCACTCTGATACAACCTCAGATACATTAATCATCGTATAAATCCTTCATAACACTTTGTTCAACAATTATTATTTAAATATCTGACCAAGATGGACTCCTTACAAGAGAGACTCCAATCGGTTTTCAACGACTTCGTACCTGGGCTGTCACAGAGAATCTTGGTGCAAGACCCCGAAATCCTAGCCATTTTCGTCGGGGGTAATTGGCTTTACCTGGATGAGGCAGACTTAAGATCGGGAGTTCACCCTTTGCATTGGAACGTTGTCGTTCTCGTCAAGACTAAGTTTGATATTTTCAGGCTTGTCAACGAAAACCGCCAACGTCTCTTGGAAATAACTGGAATCGTGCAGCAAGAATGCCCTCATGAGCTATACCAAGTCCCCTCTCCAAGTTCTGAGTACTGGTCAGAGATTGATGCCGTTAGATTCACTGGCTACGATAGAGTCTCGTCCATGCGATCGGTTGTCATAATGAGCTGGGAGTACTTCGACAGATCCGTGCCACGCACAGGTAGGTCTACGACCGCGCTCAATATATTTTCGTATGTGGATAAACGAATCTATAAAAACAACAATCTTGGACGTGTAGAATGTCAAATCCTACAGGCAACAAGCCTCCCAAATGGGTTTGTGATCCTACACGACCAATGGTTATACGAGGACTGGCATACCCCTTATAATTCTCGACGGAACCCCTCGGATGTGGTGTTTGGCCAGACTGCGGAGCTGCTAGTTAGCGGAGTGAACTTATTCAAGAATTCGTACAGAGAGAGAATTACCAAACAGATCCTAGCTTTTTACTTTCATGTTACCGGACAATCTGCAACGGCCGGGAGTCTTACTGATTCAGACATGTTTTCGTCTACATATACTGAATGGATAAATCAAAGACTGGAGTCGTATATGCTCGGAAGAGAAGTTGTCCAGAGCTTGGGACCAGGCACCGTACCTGCCCCTTCCCGGCCACTTTCTTTGTTTGGAGACACATCGACGGGAAAGTACTGGGAAAGGAATACCTTCAGGACCGTTGAAGTCATCGATGAAAAGGTACTCAGTTGTTTCGAGCACGGAGACTTCGCCTGGATCAGGCAAAGAAGGCCACTCCCCGGCGAGGTCTCAGGGAAATGGGAGGTCGCAATTACCTGTGCGGCTAGAAATACCACCAGTGTGCTCTGTAAGACGACTTCATCCGCAATGGATGAGCTTGAAAGAGCAATGATGGCTTCCCATTTCTATCCCTGGGTACAAGTTCCATGTAAATCGGGTTCTGAACAGTTGTTATTCCCTATGATCGAGTACGACTATGAAGAGGAAATCAGGACTCGGTATTATAGGCATGGCGGCAACAACTGGAACGATGCGGAGGCGCTTCTTCATGCAGAAATGGTGAAGGCCGAGATAGTGCTCAGTGCCTATCGAAAGTCGTTTCGTAATCCTGATATACAAAAGCAGGATATTAGCGAGGTCATAAAGTCTCACCTCGATCGCATCGCAAGGGGAGGGAGAGTGTTCCGAGAGCTCCACGGTGATAAGATCCAGGTAAAAGGAGGCGTCTCGGTTTCTACTAGGAAGTTCTTGGACTTGGAATGGATTATTAACGGCGAGCGGTATCCGTCCTTGCGCAACTTGCTCGATCAAGCTGCCAGAGATATCCGCAAGGCTCGATCCGGTCCAGTGGTCCTCGGGTTAGGAGATACCAGTGCGCTCCATACCATGGTATCGCCGAAAACCGTACAAGGAGGCCGTAAAGTTATTTTTGATAACTATGGGTCTACCAAGTACTATCCGGTCATGCTTGATCTTGCCAGAGCTTTCTACTGCGATGTGTTCTTTGAGATGGCGCACCTCGCCAATTTACCATCTCACGCATGGCCGCGGATGAAATATTCCTGCACTGAGACCACAGTCCAAGTGAGCTACGCTCGGAATTGCAGCTGGCTAGCACGGACGATAGCAGATATCAAAATAAGGTATCTGCTTCATCCTCTCGAAGACGAGATCAAAGCTGCGAGACACTCCTTCGATGATCTTATTCCTCAGTTGTCTGCTAGTATATTCCTGGTTCCGATGTTATACCAGGATTTTTCGAAGAACCCGGACTCCATCATTGCGAATTTAATGACTGGGATCGTTATGTCGCAATGTAGGAACTGGGAGGACTTCGACTTTGCGGTTAGAAAACTAGGGCTTGGTTCTTGAAGTGATGAGTAGCGCCGTTAAAAAAAAATTAAAAATTAAAAAAGACTGAAATTTTTAGATAATTTATGACTTTCTCGAGCCCTGAGCTGTGACTAATTCCTACGGTAGTTTGCATTATATATATATGATGTGCAATGATTTAAATAAGAAAAAAAAAACAATTCTGTTGAAGCACGAAGAGCACTTAGACTAGACCAACTGATATAGCCAGAAGCTCTTTGTATAAATGTCTCAATAGTTCCAAGGACCTAACACAGTATTGAAACACACGGTTTCATTCCTGTACAGCAGTTCATAAGTCCAAATAACAGACAGACCATCCATATAATCCCTTCGGGTAGCCCCATGGTGTAGTGGTAAGGCCTTGCTATTACAACCAATACCGGTACTGGCTGCTTGGAGGGATTATATTTTTTTTTTGGACGACCTTGAAGTCGTACCGCATTAACCCCTCAGGAATCGATCCAATTACTGATCACCGTATACTGTGATACTGCAGCCGCCACCTCATATATGAGACAATATCACATATTTGGAACCCCTGGTTTGCCGGGACAACTGGAATAAAGAAGCTGTAGCTGTGCCAATTGTCCCGTGTTAGGAGCCACTATTCTTCATGTAACAACAGGCACAGCCAACAACATGGTTTTATGGCTATTATCATAGTCAGGAGATAAATAGGGCGGAAGGTTCGCAACGTTTTGCTACGATAATGTTGCAGAGGACAAGGACTTGCAGGTATATAGTTACGAGTAAGGACTAATAAGGGGTAAAAAGCTTAGACAATATTACCGTTAGACGAAGAAAGAGAAACTATCGTGTCACTTAGTGTGCTTATGAGTACGGCTTACTAGGTCCCATGTCCTATTGAATGATGGCAGTGAAAATAAAATATGAAATAAGGTGGATCCAGTAGGTATGGAATTTAAGGGGCTTACCCCTGACCATCACTTTGAAGGATCATAGGGGCATAAGGGAATAAGCACTAAACATACAGATACAGGAGCTGGATAGTATAGTTACGTGCCATAAAACATGGAATAATGTTACCGCGGACAGATTTAACAATATAAAACCAACTTCATTGTTACGTGAAGAGCAAGGTACCACCCCGGCTACCCAAAAGTGCATGTATTCAAATACTTTCTCAGATACCTTCTCGCTGTTAACAATGTCTTAATATAATCCTCTGAATAAGTTATATAGGTAACTATATCTTTATAAACGCATATGAACATAGCCTATTGCCCCCTGGGTTAGTACAGCTCCTAAAGTCACTGTCGACCTTAGTAACATCAACATTACCTCAAACCCCATCAGGCATTCTCATGCATAGTACAATAAACACCACACTTCATTAGACAAATTAAATCCTTATTAAGTACTATGGTCTAGTAGATAAAACATATGCTGCACTAGCTTTTCTGTTTCAAAAGTCCTCATGTCCGGACATATAACTATCCCATAGCGTCAAAGTATAACCAAAACTTCCTTAGACATTTAACTCTTAACCTGAGCACTTGTCTCACCATCCTCCTCGCTATTTTTCTTATATTCACTCCTAAATGTCTTAGCTCTAAATCCCATCCACGGCAAGCCACTCCGTAGTGCCAAGCTACTCAGCACAACGCTGATGCTGCTCAGCGCCATCGCCAGACTAGCCCAGACGGGCGAGAGACGCACGTGCTGGCCGTTAGACATAATGGGGTATAGGCAGCCGGCGGCAATAGGTACGGCGAGCAAGTTGTATATAAGGGCCCAGCCAAAGTTGAACTTGATGCGACGGAATACCGTTTTGCTAAGCTCAAGTAATGTGACGATGGACTCCAGGTTGCTATTCAGTAGCACGAAGTCAGCGCTAGAGATGGCAACATCGGCGCCGGAACCAATTGCTACGCCTATGTCTGCTGTCGTTAATGCCGGCGCGTCATTGATACCATCACCCACCATGGCGATGAATGCGCGGCGGTCCGTAAGCTCGACATCCCCTCTACGGGCCTTAAGTGTAGACTGTAGCCATTTGATCTTCTCATGCTTTTCTGCAGGGAGGACTTCGGCGATGACGTTGGATTCGGGGATGCCCATGCGTAGCGCGACGGCCTTGGCTGTAATGACGTTGTCCCCTGAAAGCATCCACACATCCGTACCCCTCGATTTCAGAGCCTGAAGCACGGCAGAGGCTTCGGGCCGTATTGGATCGGAGATTGAGAGGGCAGCTGCGATTTGATATAAACTTGGTGTGCCATGAGTCTCGACAGCTACGAGCGCGACTGATTTAGCCTCCGATTTCCACGTCTGAAGACTCGTAGCAACAGCGGGTGGAATATTAACTGCAAAGTCGCGCATGAGCGACTCATTACCAACAATAATTTTGAATGGTAATGATTCGACGTTGTAGGTCGCCTTCAGGCCCTTCCCTGGTAGCTCCTCAACATCTGAGACCTCAATGCGCTCAGATGTCCTGGAGCTACAAAATGAAATAATGGCCTTTGCGATGGGATGAGTGCTATTCTCCTCTGTAGCCCGAAGTGCCGCCAGGAAAACATCCCGCTGCTTTTCGCTCACTATTTGCTCAGGGAATATCACATTGTCTGTGATAGTCGGCTCACCACCCATGGTGAGAGTTCCAGTCTTATCGAAGACAACACAGTCAATCCGACTCGCTTTCTCAAAAGCTTCACCACCGCCCTTAACGAGTATACCGTGCTTCGCAGCTAGGCCACTGCCGACGAAAATCGCAGTGGGGGCAGCAAGAGCAAGACCGCACGGACATGCGACAACAAAGACAGCGATGGCGAACTGAAGCGAGAACACGACCCAGCCTCCTGATGATACATCGAGGAAATGCCCAGGGATCGCGCCGGATACGCCGATTGATAACCAAATAAGCCATGTGAGGATAGCAATGAGAGTAACAAACGGGACAAAATAAGCGGTCAACAGATCTGCTAGCTTTTCCATTGGTGCACGCTTGGTCTGACCCTCTCGGACGATGTCGACGATCTGATCAAGCATCGACTGGCCAGCACTTCCGGTGATTTGAATCAATATAGGTTTACCAACGTTGATGGTGCCCGCGAAGACGTTGTCATTAGCAACCTTCTTCACCAGGCGGGATTCTCCTGTTAGACTAGATTCGTTAAACTCGGTCACACCACGCACGACCTTTCCATCACAAGGAGGCGAGCCTCCGTGGGGGATACGGACGAGATCACCAAATTCGAGTAGATCAGTATGGACTACTGTCTCTGTCTCCTTAGTGTCTGTGAAATCCTCGACAAGAACAGCGGTAGTCGGGCGAAGCTTGCCCAGGGCTGCCACTGCATTACCTGTCTTGGATTTGCTGTATGCTTCAATGAGTCGTCCCCAGAGCAAGAAAAATGTTAAGAATACAACAGAGTCGAAGTAGAAGTTTTCGTCATTGACCATGTCTGGGCGGTCCACAGCAGCGGCAATCATTTGGCTGATTGACGAGATATATGCGATCGTAGTCCCTAACGATATGAGCATATTCATGCTGCCGAATCGATAAAAACGCTGAAGAATTGGTGTCTGACTTCGTAGTCTCCACAACGTCATGACCTCCTTTACTGCACGTCGGTGAAATATATCAGCACCGAAAAAGTATACTGGTGTTGCCATGACACAAAGAGCAAGTTGCGCCCGGCTGATTCCGGATCGCCAGGGCTCCATGAGGTACATCTTAGACGCATCAGAGTTGGACACAAGGCTCATATACACAACACCAATGATAAACGTTGGGATGACAACAATTGTCGTGAATAAGGCACGAAGGAAGAGTTGCTTCTGATGACGCGCATGTATCCTCTTTGAGCGTTCTTCCAGTGTGGGTGGATGGTAAATTGTCGCCTTGAATGCTGGATCGCTTGCTTCAATAGCTAAGAGGATCCGTCGGATAGTGAAGTTGGGCACGACAGGAGTGTAGGCTATCTTAAGAATGGGTCGCTTTCGGCTAGGTATAGCGATAATTTCGAGGTTTTGAAGAAATCCCTTTAGACTATTCGTGGCCCGGTCAGCGCAATGGTCGCAGTAGAATCCATCGATGCGGATCTCGACATTTCTCTGGTGCTTTGGCTTATTTTCACCATCAATGTTAATGACTTGGTCAAGTTCGGCGCCTCTTCCTGTATCTTCAATTATCTCAACAACTTGATTGGCGTCGTCCTTGGTACCAATATACTCAACTACGCCGCTGTTTGAAAGTAGATTGATCGTAGCCTTAGTGATCCATTGCTTCTCATTTAGCTGCGAGCTGATGTCGTTTACACATGAAGCGCATGTCATCCCGGTGATGGCCATAGAAACCCTCCATCTACGCCCCTTACTGGGCGACTGAAGTTTGTCGTTATCCTCGGCGATGATGGATTTGGTTGATGTGATTATTTCTCGAACCGACTTCTCATCGTCTCTTTTCTGATCTCTTAACAGACCATCAGCCTTTTCCGATACTACGCTACAGCATATAGTATTGGAGGTATTGGGCCTCGGCCCGTTAGTTCGGCATGATTCACAGTTATTGAGATGTTCTCTTTCCTTCTCTGCATTTGCGATCGATGTATTCCCATGTGTAAGTTTGCTTGGCAGCTTGAAGATTCGACCTAGTGGGCTGTCTCGTAGGCTGATATCTGGCGAAGTCGGGGCTGCTGAGGGGCCGGGAATGTTAGATGGATCTCCATGCAACAAGTTGGCTAGAGTTTCTTCGCCATTGATCGAGGCTACACTAGAGACCTCAAACCCCGAAGACTCCAATTTAGACGCCATCTCGGTAATAGACGCTTTGGGATCGTGCTCGACTGCGACCCATGAGGTAACGACATTGGGCGACACCCAACTAATACCAGGGACATGTTCCAAGACATCTTTTATAGAGGATACGCACGTGGGACAATGTAGATTAGCCAGTAAGAAATTTGTGGTGACGGTTTGGTCTGGGGCAGCCATTTTTGGATAACTGGTGTTGTCTGCCGTTCGGGAGAATAGGTACTTAGGAGTGCGACCTGCGCATGCGAGGTTGATCCTTTTTGTCCTGCTGAATATGGACAGATCTTGCAAGGCGGAGATACACACTAGAGGAACTGATGAAAGGTACTGTGTGCGGTTGTTGGAATATATTAAAATAAGAATCCGTTCTGGGAAGTACGGACGTCGGCATGCGGGCGATGTGTAATTCAGGCTGAAGGGGGTATATGTAGGTCGGTACCAGTAGAAACAGGAGAAGGAGTCGACTCCACCGGCGAATAAAATCTCGAAAAGAAGCCTCAGAGAAGTAACAGTTTGTCTGTTTGTTGGTTGCTTTACACACAAAGATACGAGTTGATGCTAGCAACTCGGATTTCAAATAGGATATCAACCGACTTCAGATACTAGGTACCTAAGTTATGTGAGTAACTAACAAGTTGTAATGATAAAATAAAAGAAGTGTTCTGGAATACCTTGTGATTCACTCTTAGAAATAGGCGAGAGTCGTGTAAGTTATATCCAGCAATCCTACGCACAAAAAGCGCAACGACTCTCCACAATCACCCAGGATTAGGTGAGGGTTGATAGGCCATTCTAACCCAGTATAGGCTCGCAACTCCGGGCGGTGAATTTCAAGTACCGGATCTTCGCCGCCGGCCATAGACCGGCTGTGACACATGGTTCGGTATGTCGCCAGTCGCTATGACATGAGAGGTCACAACGAGAGATGACATAGCACATAATCGCAGCTGAGTAGGTAGAATCTTCTATAAAGTGACAGTAGGATCAGGGGTCATCAGATCCGACAAGGAATTGCCTAGGGCAGAATTCGAACTAGCGGCGCCGTATGCGTTATTGCCACCAGGGGTAAGACCCCGAGCCGGCTTCTGTTCGAAGCAAGCTCCATTAATAGTGAATGGAGCATTAAGGACGCGTCCGGCATAGATGATCCTAGTCCACGCACAAAAGCCGCAGACGGCTACCGTAAAACGTTGATTAGGCGTGATCTCGTTGGTCGCATGGCAATATTTGACATGCCTTGGTTCCCCGTTTTCTTACATACATTAAGTGATTCCCTCAGCAGTTGTGAAGTGTCCAAATTGCAAATTGCAAATTGGCAAAGTGGCGATACGAAGCGATATTTGTGCGTAAAGTAGTAAATATCGGAGGCGGTTGAAAATGTTTAATGGTACCCAATTACCAATCATATACGAAGTACTTTATGTTCCTGGATTACCTAATTGTCAGCATAGGAAACTACTAACATAGATAGGTACACTATTAAATCATTATGATGGAAGCGACTCGATGGCACTTGCTTTAGTCATTGTGGCTGTTTCAACCTTTGTTGCCCCTGAACGCCTCACACGAAGCTGAGAAATCAAATAGCATCCACTATTAGACATTCTTGGCTGATATCCTGACCTAGATGGATGTGTCGTTTATCATATCTAGGTTACCTATTTACTATAAAGGCTATTGAATACGCCCCTGAAAACAGGACAGACCCATCTCGAATAGAATAAAGCAACATGAAACCATACCGCTGATGAGATACACCAGTATTTCGAATTGATATTATTATCGAATAGTTACATTAAACAAAGATGACGTGAGTAAGTTGGGTATCTTGCTAAAAAAATTTACTAGACCAAATCCATTAGTATAAACGCCCTGACAAAATCTAACCCGCGGTGACAAGTCTCCTTATTTCTTCTCTCCCGCTGTTTCAGGCGGGATGCTGCCCTGCCTCGAATGCGCGGTAGCCGGGCGACTCGTAGCAGTTGCTGGCCGGGATAACGAACGTCGTAATTTTGCTCCGTTCTTTGTGTCGAATAGGTTTTTCACTTTCCTCAAACGCGCCCATCTTTCCTTGTCCTTCACATCTCTGGCACTAATATCCTCTTCATCATCCGATCCTAGCATGAGCGAGCGTCCATCTCCTGCCTGCCCTCCTTTCACCGGCGTTGTTGGAACAGATGCCGAGGAGCGATGGAAAAAAGAGCGCTGATTGCTCTTCTCCGCCTGCGCGCGAAGGTAAGAGTTATTTTTAATCGTTTGCGCGAGCACCTCCCAGGCGGTTTTGTTGTCTACCTTCTTTGCACCAGGGTTGTGCTGAACCGCGGCATTTCGCCAGGGACAGAAAAACCGGTGCTCACGTATAGGATCAAGGTAATCCATGGGCGCCGGAACGAGAATCTGCTTTGTTTCTTCGTCTACCTCTTTGCTCTTGAACATCCACAACCCTAAGCGGCGTAGGCACGTAGCACAAGTTGCCGAATTAGGCACCGCACCAACACGTGGGTTTGTGAGGCCCTGCCAGCCTGCAAGAGCAAGGGCGAGGGCTACATCATTTGGAGCTGATGGATTTGTGCTTGGTGGCGGAGGATCGCTAAAGAAGGTTGGGGTTAATTGTGACTTGGCGGCTTGTAGATCCAAGTTTGCCGGCAAGCGGAGGTTGAAGAGATATGGAAGAAAATATTGTCGCGCGCAAAGCTCATCGTATCGTTGGCGAAGGGAGGCTAGCGCAGTTGGAGGACTCGTCAGGGAAAGTCTGAGCAAAGTATCTGTTGTTTGTAGTTAGTATACGAATATCCCTAACATGAAGTAGTGATTGTAAGGGTCTCACCATCGCATCCGCGTCTTCTCCATAGGCAATCTTCTTGGTGCGCATCGATGATCAATTCGACAAATCTCTTCACCAAGCCCTCCTCGATGTCCGAGCCGACCATGATCTGAACCTCCTTACCATCCACCTCTGTTTTATTCATCTTGACTACCAACTCTTTGTGGCATAACGTACAACTCACACGCTCCTTTCCATTGCAGACCCAACCTCTCTTGGCCCATTCGATCTCGTTGACTTTATCCGGCTTCGGAGTCCATTCTGTTAGTTCTTGAAATGTTCCAAGTCGTCTGATCAACTCGTTGCGATCGCTAGGGCAATACTTTGGTGCTTCGGTCTTTGTTCCTTTGGCTGGAGAAATAGCGCTGCCATTTGGCGCCCATTTCTTCAGTACGACATTTGAAATAATAGTCCCGCTTGGTTTTTCGTTCCCTGGAGTAGACTCTAGGACACGCCGGCGCTTCAGGAGATCGCTGGGGGTCGAGGGTACGCTTCCGGAAGGCATCTCTTTATTCGGGGTCAAGGCGTTGTCGGGTAGTGAACTCGAGTTTGGGGTCGAGGGTCGATTCAGAGGCGAATTTGAAGTATCGTTTTGCGCTTCTGTTGATGGCGACTGAGGGATTGGCTTCGCGCCGATTCCTTGTAATAAGGCATTAAACTTCCTCTTAGTAGCGTTCATGGTTGATTTTGTTCAATGAAGAACAAGGCTGCTAGTAGGGTGGTATTAAGTATTAAATTAGGATGCTAGAGCTTGCTAGAGCTTGCTTAGAAGCTCTTAAGGGAATGACTTTACAACCTCCTCGATTAGCTCTTGGAAGCACAGTTTACTTTGTGGAGTTTCAATAACTAGTAAGTTGGTTGATCAAGTTAGTATTGTATGAGAATCCACTAATAGATTATATTTTAGGTAGTTTGTTTAGACTTGAATGGCCAAGTTCGAGGCTAGATGCGTATGAATTTGTTTAGGTAATGAAGGAGGTATGTAACTTTGTTGTTTTCTTTGATTGTCCAATTGCTATGTACACCATTTACTTTCCCTAAGCTACGGTCGTCGGAGGGGTGACGGACCGGGGTATGGCCCCGACAGCCTATACCCACCTAAACTCCCCTATGCCTTAGGCTGGTGTGACTACCTACCTAGGTAGGTACCTAGAATTGAGGCTATCGGGTTGGACAACACTTCCAAATCTAGCCGCTAAATAATGGCGATTACAGAAACTGTACCTTGTAAAAGGTCTCGGGTTCCGACATTAGTGAGGTTGAATGCTGTACACAACCATGCGTCATAGTGGGATAGCATGAGGGGCTACAACGATTGTGAGGTAAGCTAAAGAATAATTGAATCATCGTGCTGGCAACAAATACACATACATACATTAGGTACATACATACCTCCTAAGGTACCTAGAATACATAAATCCCCATTATATTCCACTTACCACCTACTTACAAATAAATACACAAATCGTGCTATATGCAGATTAAAAAAGATAAAAAGATAAATTCTACCAAGTTCCTTATTCTATCCTCTCTTCTCATCGTGACACTGGCCGCCTTCTTGTTTCGAGCCTTGCCCCGCCTTACCTCATTGTCCCTGCATCTTTCTCCTGGATCCCGCCAACAAATTCTCAGCCCTGTCATATCCAATAAAAATATGTCGTCATACGCCAAAGAGCTCGAAGTAGCACAGCTAGCCGTCCAGCGCGCTTCCATCCTAACCAAGAGAGTCTTCCACGAGAAGGCTAAGGGTACCGTCTCTAAGGATGACAAGTCTCCTGTTACAATCGGCGATTTCGGTGCCCAGGCCCTTATTATTAGCGCCCTGAAGGCCAACTTCCCCGATGATGAAATCGTTGCAGAGGAAGAAGCCGCTCAGTTACGTCAAGATGAGAACTTGAAGCATACAATCTGGGACTTGGTTTCAACCACCCAGCTTTCCGACCCTGAGGCCGAGAGCCTGCTTGGGGGGGCTATCGATAACGAGGAGGCCATGTTGACTATGATTGACTATGGAAATAGCAAGGGCGGTGCTAAGGGTCGTATATGGGCTATTGACCCTATCGATGGCACCAAGGGCTTCCTCCGTGGCGGCCAATACGCCGTATGTCTCGCCCTGATGGTGGACGGCGATGTCAAAGTTGGTGTTTTGGGTTGCCCGAACCTCCCTATCGACGATACTGCTACGTTAACGGGAGGCATGGAGTCTGGTCAGACAGACGAGGGAAGAGGAGTCCTATTCTCTGGCGTGCTGGGCCGAGGTGCTACAAGCCGCGCATTGACTACTGGTGAACTGGCTAAGGAGAAGAGCATTTCTATGAGGGCAATCACCGATATCGCAGCAGCAACATTCTGCGAGAGCGTAGAGGCCGGGCACTCGTCCCATGGAGACCAAGCTGAAATCGCGAAGCTGCTCGGCATTACAAACCCTAGCGTGCGGATGGACTCTCAAGCCAAGTATGCCTCTATTGCGCGAGGCGCGGGTGACATCTACTTGCGATTACCTGTTAGTGCGACATACCAGGAGAAGATCTGGGATCACGCCGCGGGTGACCTCATCGTCCGAGAAGCTGGAGGTGCCGTAACAGATATTTATGGAAAGTCGCTGGACTTTAGCATTGGGCGAACGCTATCGAATAACAAGGGTGTCGTCGCTGCTCCCGCTGCTGCCCACCCGCAAGTTCTCAAGGTGGTGCAGGAGGTCCTCTCGAAGAAATAAATTTGGCACCTCATAAACAGATAATGCATACAAGTACATAGTTTTTTGTTCGGGTATCTGCCGTCGTATAGTACATAGATACACGCGTGAAGTGGAACAATACCATCATCCCTAAGATCATCTATTTGATCTTCTTTTGTTTTAGCTTGATCGTCTCGTCGTTGACAAAGATACCTTTCCCCTTGTATGGCTCCGGCACTCTCCATTTCCGTATCCTAGCCGCGAAAGACATGACTTCCTCTCGGTTAATGCCTTCGAGCAAAATTCTCGTCGGCTGCGGCGTGCTGGCCTTTATGCCGGTAGGGACCGGCTCCTCGACGGGGTGTGTGAAACCAAGCTTTAGGCACACAAATTTCTGTCCCGGGTAAGCTGCCTTCCTTGGCCGCTCCTCGACGGTCGCCCTGTAACCCACACCAACTAATCGTAAGATTGCGGTGTGCCCTTCTGATACGCCGATGATGTGTCGGTTGAGGTATGCCCATGTAGTTCCTAGTTGACTTCAAGTTAGTCCTAGCTAGCCCTTGTACAATCCAGACAGGTTGCCACAATCGCAATAATGGCTACAAAGAATATTGCACATACCCCACATCTCTTTCTGCTGCTTGATCTCGTTATTCTCAATGCTGAGCACCGCCCTCCTCGAAGCTTCGTCATGGGCGATCGTAAGATAAGGAGGAATTTCGAGATCGAGTTTTCCTAATGGCCCCGCTATGGTGACTGTCCGCTTTGGTATTCTTAGGTAGGTAGTAAGATCCTTCTTAACCCTGGGCTCGCCAATGATCAATTCGACACCGGGCGGGATCGATATGGGCGTTCGGCCGAGCTTCGAGGGTCTATTCGATGTATTCGAGAACTGGCGCCGCGGGGTTGTCGTCTGGAAGGCTGGTACGAGGAAAGCCGGGAGTGTGACGGGGGCGTTGGTACCTGAAACTGAAAGGGCTCTCTCGAGCACCTTTCCCCTACTCGGCGCCAACATCGTGGATTTTGTGAGTCTCCACTGTGAAGTCAATTGACTGCAGGACTCGAAATCCCAGGATTTCAGTTGCAGAAGCTCGATGCGCGAGGCTTGGCAATGCTAGAAAAATAATCGGGTCAAATCACGTGTTGTGTAACTTGAAGAAAATGGCAAACAGAATATAACTGTACCTATATGCAGTATAGAGAGAGGCTTATGTAATTACTACAACTTCCCCTATCCTTATCGCAATTGCCTTAGATTTAGTCGCTCTTTCCTCTCTTCTGGAAGGAAAGACCGAATGATCGATATGTATAATTCTCGTAGTTCTAATTTAAAACCAATTGTTTCTCTTACTACGTCTTCCAAGGAGATACCTTCCACTTTGTCCACTCTTGATATAATCATGATATTTACACCACTCTAACAAACTTTGATCTGACTTCAGATAAGATCACCCAGGGGTTGAGCAGGATGTGTGCGGTCGAGGAGCAAAATTCCTTCGAATTCAACGTATGACGACTCAAGAGACACATTCAAGGATTTTTCTATTATTGGCACCATACCGCTCCCTTCTGCCAGTTATTCCTATCGTCACTTTCTACGATACTAGGACTTCACTATTTTTATATCGTGAATTTTACACACTTCAATAAATCTTCATTACCTCTTTCATAGTTGCATTCTCTTGCTGTTTCCTAGGTGGTATATAAGATTCACCATGAATAACCAACGGAGAGTTATGGGTTCGGTGAGAAAGGCAGTCATCTTCTTGCTGTTACAGGTTCGCTTGATCAATGGATTTTCGTGGCGTAGTGTGCCGAAAGTGGAATTAGGTATATCACCGCTTGCTCGCTACTCTTACACGTTTGCTTACTAGAAACTAGACACGGGAATGCTTACAGACTCATCTACTGCAGGCGGCGATCTATCACAGCTCCTCAGGTCTGGGTCGCGGTTACCCAGCTCCTATGAGGTAACCCTAAAGGAACTGCGAGAATTAGAATCAGAGCCCCTTTGTCATAGGACAGCCGCACGCCTATTGGTGAATAATTGCGAAGTTCTCGAGGGCAAGAATGAAGCATCAGTTCTAACTGAAAGTGGCCGTAAAATTAGAGATTTCGTTGACTCGTACGCTGCTAGTCTGGCAATCTGCGACTTGGAGAGAGGAAGCTTCCAGATCCCAAGAGAATGCGCCAATTTCCGAGAGTCCGTTCTAAGCCAGCTACCAATTCGAAGTTTAGGACACCTACACGTCTCCTCCGTGGAAGTTGACAGCTGCCTCTCTGGCTTAGGCGAATCCGACTCGGCCTAGAACACCTGGGTTAGTTACCGCCATAAAGCCTTGAGATTTTGTGAAGCCGCTAGAGTAGACAACGAGAAAGGTATGAAAATATCTCTTGTCTAATTCGAACTTAGATTAATGGGCTTACACCCCTTAGATCAGCACATTCTTCTCTTTCAGCGTCTAACAAAGATTATGGGGCGATTCACAGACGACATCGACAAGAAGTTTGAACAGCGTATGAACGATCTGGACATCCGGGCACAGGCTACGAGTGGCAGAATAGATGAGCTTTTTCCAAAAGTAGACCACTTGAAAGACAGTCTGAAATCCGTAGAAGACTTCTTTCTTGCTCGACTTATGCACACCGTTAAGGTAACTTATTATAATTCATTAACTATACTTAGCTGGGAATCTCTCTTAACTTATTTCTAGGAAACTACGGACGCGGTCAGTTTGGGGGCGCAGAATGCTGTCAACCTGCAGAAAATGCTCGAGGTTGTATTGAAGAGTGTTTTTCAGGGCCAGGCCGAGGTAGTATCTTCTTATGAACACTCGATGCAACTCGCCAATAAACGTGCAGAATCTGCAATTGACACGGCGATTCAAGCAATCGCGGTAGTTACCGAGTCCGCAGCGCATTTACGAACCCAACTCGTACGTCGCATTGTTGTGATATTCTGGGCTCTATGCTAACATAGTACTCTAGGAGCTTTCACGTCTCCAAGCAATGGAATTGGAATCGAGGCAAGCTAATTTAGAGGAGGTGAGGTATATCACTTTCAGGATGCTTATTATGACTAATATGAACTCGCAGGGCATGCAACGACTTATTGGCATCACAGAAAACTTAGCGGTGAAATACGACGATCATACGAGCCTACTACATCAGGCACGCAATATAACAAATGATATTCTTGAAACACTAGAGGACACAGCCGCTGAGGCAGCTAATGTCGGCAATTCAATCCTTAAGCAGTCGTCTGTCTCGTCATGGTGGCCTTATGTTTGGTGCCCAGCAGCATCACTGGTACTGGGTTCGTACGGGCTCCCCCCTTCCGCGATGAGGAATTTGGCACTATTGACTTTAGGTATGTACCTACTTTCGTTCTAGAGCCATGCACCTACTAACATATCGAAGGAGAGGTAGCTGGTCTTACAATATCATCTATACAGTTGTCCGCGCCTACCATTAAGCTCTCCACTTTGCTACATACTTGGGGGCATTCATTTCCTAAATCAAGCTCGCCTTCCAACACCGCCAGCCAACCTGAATTGCTATAGGCATCTAGACGACTTTTAATCATATTTTTGACTCCTGATTTAGTAGAAGGCAAAGCTAGTGGAGGACATGGCTTCTTACGTATATTGGTCGTGGTATCTTAGGTCGGGAAAGGATTCTACTATGAAAATATTCGCTTTAGCATGATGTTTCATCGGACATTGAGAAGAAGGGGTAGGGATCTTTGGAGTCGGGAAGAGAAGAGGCTATTCTAGAAGCTCCTATCAGATAAATAATCTATATACCGCTAAGTCTTCATAGGCATCATTCGAATGCGTAAGTGTGATAAAGTCTCGTTTCATTTTTCTTTATTATGCTCGCCGGTATGACCAAAGGTAACTTCGCCATACCCAATTCGTTTGACCGGCTTCAATATACGTCATTCGATTGGATGCTGGTGGAGGCGGCGATTGGCCTGCTCGGAAACTCTGAGCGCTGATTGGTTAGTCCCACTGCGGTTGTCTAAATGTGGAATACCCCCTTTAAGCCTTGCTAATGCTGGATCGTGGGCTCAACCATTTAGCTTCACTTCACTATCGGACTTAATGGACGTAAGACGTATAGGGAATGATCTTTCGAGCTGTCATACGGATCTCGCATACGGGCCTTGGGATGTGGTGCATCAAGGAAGCCGTGAGGTTGTGCTGATGACTGGTGGTGCGCCATGTGTTTCGCGAGAGCGATGGGATATAAATATCTGAGCTTTTCTCGTCTTATTAGAAGAATCGACAGACACAATAGTCTTTAAAATCGAAGACATCTACTTGAACTTTTCAAACCACTTTTACCTTTCAGTCACTAATAATTTGCCAATATGCCTACTAAGCCTATCCTCCGCCACTTGGGAACGAATGGTCCCTTGGTGCCAGCTCTGGGTCTCGGGCTCATGGGAGCATCTTACTCAGTCTATGGGAAGGAGTTGGATGACGAGGAGCGATTCAAGCTACTTGACCGTGCCCTCGAGCTGGGGGAAACCTTTTGGGACACCGCCGAGTAAGTCATGATCCGTGTATTATGTTGAAATTTATTTAGTGTGAGCAGATCATACTCAACTAACGATGGCACAGCCTGTATGGTGACGGAGAGGAACACATCGGGAAATGGTTTAAGAGAACTGGCAAGCGAGATCAAATCTTCATTGCTTCTAAGTATGGTATCATCAAGGGCAGCAAGACATTCGAGGCCAACAGCTCTTATAAGTACACTAAGCAGGCCTGTGATAAGAGTCTGAAGGCCTTGGGTGTTGACCAGATCGATCTTTGTAAGTTCTATCTTAATTTTTCTCTGTACCTACCCCATGTGGTTGTCACAATAACCTTGGAGTGTTTCCTCACGAAGAAACTTGAACTCCATAGTTAACCCTTAAGAACATGATATTTTGATTCTTACGACTGAATGCTTCTCTAACTCATGGAGCGATAGACTACATCCACAGCGTCAACCCGGAGACTCCTATTGAGGAGACTATGCTCGCCCTTAAAGAGCTTCAAGCGTAAGTTCTACCAACCCTAGTTAGTTACAATGCAGATATCTGACCCAAATCAGCGAGGGCAAAATCAAGTACATAGGCCTCTCCATGGTCTCCGCCGCAACCCTCCGCCGCGCTGTCAAAATCGCGCCCGTCGCCGCCGTGCAAACTGAATACTCTGTCTCAGCACGCGACATCGAAGGGACCGCAGGCACGGACCTACTCGCCGCATGCCGGGAACTCGGCGTCGCCATCGTAGCCGCGACCCCTCTAGGACGCGGCATCCTCACCGCCGACTTCAGCAAAAACGACACCGCCTTCGGAGAGGGCGACGCCCGACCACGCGTCATGCCGCAGTTCCTCGCCGAGAACCGCGAGCGCAACGCCCAGGTCGTCGCGCAGTTCGCCGCCCTCGCGCAGAAGAAGGGGTGTACGGTGTCGCAGCTCGCGCTGGCGTGGCTGCTCAAGCAGGGCGATGATGTCTTTCCTATCCCGGGGACTAAGCGGATCCAGTATCTGGAGCAGAACTGGGACGCGCAGGATGTGGCGTTGAGCGATGCCGAGGAGAAGGAGATCAGGGCGTTCTTTGATAACAATGGGTTTGTGGGTGGTACGCTCCCGGAGGCGTTCAAGTCGCATAGGTTCCGGGATACGAAGGAGGAGTCTAGCTGAGCTTGTGATACGGCTCGTGACTGTATTTAGGTAGATATAATAGTTGCCGTAGTTAGGATGCTGGCTACCTGTTAGTCTTAGACGAAACTTGGGCAAATAGTATTATTTATTCTGGTTATATGTCCGAAACATAGCAAGTTACCAAATAAACTTACCAATTGAATCATTTCGTACTTCTTATTCTTAAAGCCGGTGACAAAGTGTTATTATGATTCTTTTATATATAGTTTTATAAGACTAATGTGCTAACATTGGACTGTGCTTTGCCCCTATTTCTCACCGGTGGTGTAACGTGAGTATTGTAGTAAGACATTAGAGAATAGACTTGATAACACTTCACGATCTCGCTGGTAGTATTACCAATATATTTATTTATTATATTTACGATTGTCTTAATTTCTAAATTAATTATCAAGTATTCGTCAACCTCCAAAAGCAAACGGACACCCAGCCCCTATCGCATACCTTTTCATCATCTCCGCCTCAAGTAGCACTTCTTTCTTCCCCGACTTCTCAAGCTCGAACGGTCCCAATTCTTCCGGGACATACCCCCTGCCCTCGTATTTCCCCCCGGGTGCCGTTTTACCACCCGACGTCAGCCATAGCACAAGCCGGTTGTACCATGTATCGGCAACGTACCACGGCTCAAAGCCGACCCACCACGCATCGCGGTACAACCGACCATCTTCGCCGGGTCGCGCCATGGGATACATCGGTGCTATGCGCGGGAGGAACAAATGGCGCAATGCGAATCCGCGTAGCTGGAAGAACCCCGCCGTTAACGCCGTCGCCCACCGGGACGGGTCCGGGAAACCGAGGGCATCACGGACTGGCTTCTCGTCGATAAATGACAAGAAAAGAGCCCGCACGACGCTATGTAAGAAACCCGGAATCGCCCGCATGAACAAGTCCACCGTAGCTGTTGCTACCATATGGTTCTCGGGGATAAAATACATATGCTCATCCTCATACTTCACCTTCCACTCCTCAAGCCCCTCCAGCGTCTCCGGGACAATCTCCCCGAACCCCATGCGCCGGGCGAGTTCCCGCCAGTACACGAAATACGCGATCTTCTCGAGCCGCGTCAAGGGCCGCCAGTCGTACCTATCGATCCAGCGCGCGGGCTCGAGAACAAAGAGCGCCAGCGTGTGTACGTAATCGTACTCCTTGATGTGCTTAGAATACAGCCCGTGGATCCAATTTAGACGAGCCATAGCTCTGCGACCTCGTTCAGAGTCGATGTCCCCGAGGAGTAGTTCGACTAACAGGATAGCCGTGTCTTCGGCTCGTCGGCCGACGCGGGTGGGGTCGCAGAGCTGCCGCGTGCGGACGAGCAGCGGTGTGCCGGTGGACATACCGTAGCTCTTGACGAGGGCCCATTGCGTGCCGAAGTAGAAGAGAAAAGGCGTGTCGTAGAGCTGATGTAGGCGCATGATATCGGCTGCCTGCCGGTAGTTCAGCTTATACGGATCCTCGACGTAGGCGGCATACTTGCGCTCTAGGGCCCGGACCGCGCGAAACCGTAGCAGCTGCACTAGCGACAAGTAGACCAAGATGGCAGTGGCCACGAACATGTACCACGACGAGGAGTTCTTCCCTAGTAGGTCTCCAGCATCCCCTGGCGGTCTTGTAAAGTTCTGCGTCGTAGCCATTTTTTGATAAACGTATAGCGAACCTGTCCTTCAGTGAAGAGTGAGTTCCTCAAGTTATAACGGTATCGGTTACGGATACTTCGGAACGAAGAAGAACCAGGGATCTAAGAATTCGGTATAAGTGGACCAAGCCATGCTTGCTTGCCTAACCTCGTATGTTCTATACTTAGAGATGCTAAGGAATGGCGTGCATAGGTGTTTATGCAAGTGTTTACTGAATCTGGTAAAAAAGCACATTCTCATTGGCTGGAACCCTGTAAAGAAACACTTTTATTGAGAGTTGAATAGAGACGCCGATTGGTGGGATGGACTTTATATACTTGAAGTATTATAATAGTTGCGTGCTTTAATATTAAAGGGCTAGGTTAGGGGGTTTGTTTCTAACGTATGCGGTCTCATTCTACGATGTACATAGATTCTGGAATGCCTCCTTTAGGCTTGATGGCTTGGTACTATTGGTGGGCTGATATACAATAGGCTATTGAGTTATATCGTATAGATAAAGTAAAAATTAAGTTAAATTGATTATTGGTTTGACTGCCTAGCTAGAAGACCTAGCTGCGTATTTGCCAAAGATACCTCCTAATTAACATTTAAATAGATAGTGGTTTAACTTGACTTCGTTTATATGTCCTTTCCTAAACAGACTTACCGACATATAAAGTGTTATATCGAAAACGTCCCAGTCAAAGGCAACGCTCGGCTACTAGATCCGACAAAGATCCCGTAGTCGCCTTTCTGTAAGAGCCATTGCTGTGCGACTACATCCCACGTGCTCAGATCTCTTCTCGTCAACTCAAAATCGACGTTCACTGATTCTCCAGGTTCGAGTACCGACTTTGAGAACCCGCGTAGCTGCTTCACGGGGCCGTTGGGAATACCGACGTAGAGCTGCGCGACCTCGGCACCCGTCACGGAACCTGAGTTAGTCACTATCGCGGAGACCTTCGCCACGATGTCCCAGAGGTCTTCATGACCACCTTCAACGATTGGCTTCGACGGATAGGATGAAGTATCGGCGCCTTTGACTGTGGAAATTTGGAGATCTGAAAAGTTAAAGGTGGTATAACTTAGACCAAAGCCAAACTCGTAGCGAGGCGTTATATTATTGGCATCAAATGCTCTGTAGTCGATATAGATGCCCTCTGTGAAGTCCGACTGTGGGAATAATTCATATATACCGTCGGGAGCAGTTGCATTTTGAATTGGACCGTAGTCTGACTCGTTGCGCGGCACTGAATACGGCAACTTGCCTGAAGGATTGACATCGCCGTAGAGGATAGAAGTCAAAGCTCTACCAGAGTCCTGGCCAGGAAGATGCGCGAAGATGAGGGCTGTTACATTAGGGTTATCGATGAACTGGTCGACAAGGCGAACACCCGCGTTGTGGAACACCACAATGGTATTGTTGCATTGAGACGCGACATTGGTGATGAGAGCGTCCGTATAATCGTCATGCAGCCCAGGCCTATCGTAACCTTCCGACGCATAAGCATTTCCAACAACAATGCAAGCATCGGAAGACTGGTCGACTTCAGGGTTCCCACTATGGAAGTCCCACCATAGGCTTGTATCGTCCTCATAAGCACGTTGGCTCAATGCCGCCGCGGGAGAACTGACGTACGCCGGCATGTTTGCGCCAGATCCGCCGCCACTGATCAGCGTGCCGTTGGCAGCAATTTGACTATGAATTACATCGTCTCCATTTGTGATTGAGTCAGCTGGTGCTAATGACTGTCCACCTAGGTTCCATCCACCTAAGTTCCAGCCGACACCAGTCACAGGTGTATATGTGTCGAATGATTTCGCAGAGTATCCGAATAAGGATATTAACTTGGGCGACTTGAGGGGTAGCGCATTATTAGTATTTTTCAATAAGACATGACCTTCAACGGCTCCCTGTAATATGACATCCTTATTTTTAGCTGATTTTGCGATGACTCGTTGGTGAGGCTTGGTGAGGTCGTATGGCATTCCTCGACCTAAAGCCGGAAAGCCTTTGTCCTGGCCCAACTTATACCACGTAGCTAAAATTCTACGCCGATTAGAAGGGAGTGGTAGCAGAGTATTCAAGACGAACTTACCTTGTCGCCATGTCGTCTATTCTAGATTCCGGGACAGTCCCATTTTTCACAGCTTGTGTTAGATTGGTGGACCAATATGCCGAGCCGTACGGCATAACCATGTCTAGACCTGCAAGCGCTGTAGAAACACCCGAATGCTGAGCAAACCAGTCCGAGACGATGAAGCCCTATTTGTTTGGTTAGGTGCTTATGCTATAGAAACGAATTGTGCATTTCATACCTGGAATCCCAGCTCAGTCTTCAGTAGTCCGTTTTGCGTCTTACTGTTGCCGCACCCATAACTGTTGTTGATCCGGTTATATGAACACATTATATTTACAGTGCCTGCTTTCACAGCATCTTGGAAAGGCCTAATTAGAAGTTAGATTTGACTACCCATATAAACATGCTGTCATACGTACCAGAGATATAATTCATGCATAGTCTTGTCGTCGATGTTCGACGAAACAGCCGTAACATTGCCCTCAGGGTTTCTATTAGTCTCCTGCTCATTGGCGATGAAGTGCTAAGGATATGTGTTAGCCACATTTGTCTAGAAAAATTATCTGTACTGCCTTACCTTTGTGCTTGTTGCGACTCCCACTGACTGTATCCCCTTTATAGTGTCGGCAGCTAGAACGCCACTTAGATAAGGGTCATTTGCGAAGCCTGAGTAGAAGTTAATATTTAGGCTTGTTGGTTAAGTAGAGTGCCTAGAGCAATGCGTTACCTTCCCAATTCCTTCCGCTTGATGCGATACGGCCTAAGGGACCGACGACAGGCCCTAAAGCAATATGGACCCCTTTCGCTCGGAATTCGCCGGCCATGCCAACAGCTCTCTTATGAGTCAATTCGCGGTTCCAGCTGAGTAGAAAGGTTAGTTAAAAGAATCCGTATAAAAAATAGGATGAAAGATTTACCTTGCACCAACCGAAAGGCCCGAAGCCCAACTTGTTGCGAAGTTGGTAGTGCGCACTCCATTACCAGCATCGCTAAGACAGAGACCGGTAAAGTTGACTCTCTCTATAGGAAGGATAATACCAGAACAAGAGCTGTTTACTTCAACGCCGCCGGTAAGGTTGACCTGTATCCTAAGTTAGATATAGTGGCCGTTTGAGCCGCTCTGGGTTATCTCCGACCTTTTCTTCCAGGGTTAACTGGGCCACAAGAGCTCGTGCTTTAGCATAAGACTCTGCCCAATCTCCATGCCCGGTTGCATTGGCTTTAAAAATGTAAGTATATGTTCGAACTCTCTCGGGGTAATGCTTTACATACGTGACGGGTATACTGGAGGTGATTGTCCATAGAAGACGGTGTCATCCGTAATGATGGACTGGGCAACAGTACCAATGCCGCTACCCCAAGTGGCTAGGCCGACCAGTGCATACAGAGAAGTTGACAACATGGTGTGCACACTTGACAATACGATCCAAGTTATCGAGAATGCATAGTCATCCAGATCCAAAGGACTGGCATACCATATAGACGAAACATTCATTTTTAACTCTGATCTTTCCGTGAGGGGTTATCTAGACAAAGGAAATTAATCGGTCCTTTTCCTGAATATCAGCCGGTAATGCAGGCATTACCACACCCGAATGGCAACTTACATGGACGAGAGAGGGAGCAACAGGGGGTAAGTAGCGTTAATGACGGAAGAGTTTGGGGAATGTGGAGAATGTCTTGGGGATGGGGAGAGGTGGAGAGGTGGAGAGGTAGGTATGCATGTCCAAAGAAAGTGTAGAGCTATTTAGATTTGAGTAGGTTAGTAACTTGCCGGAGCCGAGGCTGAGGCGGTATATGTAAGTCAGTTAAGACGGAAGCGGTGTATTAATGAGATTGGTACCTGTAGAAGTTCTGAGTTAGTTATAACAGGTATATAGTTGAGGTAGTTATACATCTGATTACCAATGTAAATACCTATATAGGTACCTATTTAAGATATGCTAGTTAACAATATATTGTTTCTACTTGAACAACATTAGTAAAAAAGTGTATACATACCAGGTAGGTACCTATGTACTTACATAGGAGGTATGTATGTACACCGCCATACAGCTCCCGACATTCACGCCATTGACATTCTCCGGTCAACCCATGCACCCCGCACTTTAGATCGTTAGTTTACCCCAACATAACGTAATAGCTGCCAAGAGTTGGAGTAACGGAATTGCTTATACACTACAAGCTAATTGAAGGTTAATTTATTTTTGTCAATGGCGAATGGCGCATCATCGATACCAAAGAAACGGAGTTTAAATACATTATGTTATGCTTGGCTTATATTATTTTAAACTTATCATTCACCTAACCTAGTCGATAGAAAAAAAAACAAAAACAAAAACATAATATAAAATAACTACCTACCTAGGTACCTATATAACAAAGTACATGACCGTGTTGGTTAACATAACGAGACATAACGAGTGATCCTACCAAAAACAAGCTAATCTCCTCTCTGGAATAATTCAATAAGCCCGCCCAATCCACCGAGATCCACACGACAACTCCCGAGCCAAGGTCACGAAGTTATTAGTACGGTTTCTGGCCGGTGAAGTTTCCGGGGGGAGAATATCTCCCGACGATATAAACACCGCCTTTGGCGTCCTTAGCCGAGCCCATTCCGAGCTTGGTAGTCGATTTCCACATACATTGAGCTAAATGGTGGGAAAACGAGTTAGAAGAATTACGAATACGGCAACACGGTTGGCGACAACTCACTATAATGGCCGTACGACCCGAAATCGCCCTGTCCGATCGGCTCGCCGTGGTAGTTCTTTTCTTCGGCAATCCACATGTTTGCAGACATGGCGAGAGGTGTGCTGGAGCTAGAAGCCCTAAAAAGATGTCCAAGTTAGACTACTTATGCTCTTGTTCTCATTACATGAGCTCATCATACCATGCAAGATTTTCACCCTGGTTTGGTCGCTGGTCACCACTCGAGTGTTGCAATTTGCCAATTTGAGCGAGATGCTTTCCGTAATCTTCGGCGTTTTTGGCAAGTTGGTTATCCCATGCGAGGGGCTTGAGGCCCTTGCTCTTGCGCTTGTTATTGTGGATATCCAGAGCCTTTTGCTGATCCGGGCCGAGAGCTGCAGCGATGCTGAACTGGACTAGTCCACCATTTTCCGCGGCTTCGGGGGCTTGGGCAGTCTCGCCGTTGGGCTCGTGAGATAACGGCTCCCCGGCTTTCGCATCATCGCCCACCTCGACTTGCGAATCATTTTCCTCGATAGCATTCAATGAAATGAAGGCATTGGTAGCAACACCGGGTGCCTTCATGGGTTGCTGATGAACGTACATCTTACCTAGCTCCGTAAAGTTGCCGTTTGCATCCATGAGCTGGGCGACGGGACTAACAAAGCCGTCGGCAACCTTACGCTGGAAATCGAAGAGACCATATTCGAAGACCCAGTCCTGACTATCTAGCCAGTTGCAGATGCGGACAGTGAAGTCTACGACGACCTGGTAGTTGCGGTCGATGCATGCAATTTCGGTAACCATCTTGAAAAGTGTTAGTCGTAAAAGAGAATTCATGTTCGGTGATGTTAGACTTACGACTTTATGGTTAGGCCACTTGTTATGCATGTCCTGGATATACTTAATGGCATAATTGGCATTAGTTGAGTAGTAGTGCAAGCACAGAAAGTCGGGAGGGTCCTTTGACACAAGGGACATAAACTTTTCGATCCACTTCCGGCCATTATCATCCTAAGAGTTATTAGTTCGATTAATAATCAATACAAGAAATCAACTTGAGCACATACAGAGGCAACGGCCGGAGAACCGAGTTGCTTCCCCTTATTCTTCCTCAGGGGGAGCATCTGGCTATACCAGATATCCCTTGCCTGCTCTGGGCTTATATTGGCGCGCTCAGGCTCGTTGAAATAAAGGATAATAGGATACTTTGAGTTTTGTATCTGAGCCCATTCTCCGCCTTTCGTGTTATCAAGAACACGAACCATAGGCCGGAATGGTGCTCGATCATTGAGCCCAGGGGGTACCCACGTATTCCAATTCACCACAGAGGCAACTGGGCTGTTACCACCGAAAGGTACTTGGTTGAACTTGTCGGGGATATCGGTGTTGGTGTAGTCCCAGAGAATCTGACGCTTCTTGATAACCATTTTGTCAATAGGTCGATGTAAAAGCTGCAGCAAAAAAATAACAAGTTCGGGAATCTTAAGGGACTCAAGTTGTTCTGATATTGATTCTATCTATCATGATAGAGGGGACAGACACGAAGAGGACTTTATATATGTCTAACCTTTAGGCAAGATGTTACTACACCACCTCATGATGAGCCCCTACACCGGGCTGAGGTGAGGCGGAGACACACCTTACGCTGACATGAAGAAAAATACCGAGGGTACCCTTACGGGATATTGCCTAGGTTAATCAATTATTTGAGTTGTGCTACACTGCTTAATCACCTGTTATATTGGCTTGTTGGCTAGAAAATTCTAGTTAAAACTTGGCATAGTACTATGCTAGATTGTTAGGTGACCTAACGTAACTGAGGCTTATACGTATACCTATTTTTGATTTTGCGTTTGGCTGTAAGATTTGTATTGAGTTGTTAGTTCTAGGTATGATCATGATGACTTCGATAATAGTGTATCTGTTAACGCCGTAAATATTACCCATGAATATTACCCGCCAATATAAGCATATTAGATAACTAACTTGACTTAAGTCAGTTTAGTTAAGAGTAATTTTTCAAGTTAACGTAATACTTGGCATTGAAGCTATGAGAAGGTAAGAAGCGCAAAAGTCCTTTTTCTGTCAGCTGATTATTGAATATTAAGTAGTCCTAGTTTCTATGTATAACAGTTTGGGGAGTAGGATCAGCACGAGACTGACGAAAATGTGCGGCTTGTTTTGTCCTTAGCCACCCCCCAGAAAATGCAAGGCTATGCAAAATCGGAGAGCTTTATTTGTATTGTATAACCTCGTCAACCTTTTTAGGCTACAACTCTTGTTGGCTCATTGGAATCGTAGTGTTGGCCAATTACATGATATGAGCTTAGGTCACACCAACATTACTTCGCGGCAAAGCCCTCAAGTCCCAACCTCACCGTCGTATCGGGTCGTATGACTACGAAAGATATTCATATGACAATACAATTTTTAGCATATGAGTTTGTATCTACGTTGTGGCCACAAGGGCAGAGTTCGATTAGTCTAACTCACAGCCGATCCTGTATCATGGATCTGTCCAAGGATTGATCATGTTCTACGAATGTAGTATTTTTTTTTTAGCTCTACGCGGCTGCCGAAGGTAGGGGATGAGCGTAGGGAGCCGGTGAACATTGGAATATAAATTATCCCATATCTCTCTTCTAGCTAATGAACAAATCTCCATAGAATCATAACAAGACAACTCAAACATATATAAAAGTAACTCTAATCAATACTCTCATCAATATGCATTTCCTCAACATCCACAACAGATCCAACCACGAACAGATCTTCCAGTGTCATGGTTACAATGGAAACCAGGATCTAAAGATCAAAGCAAACGGCCAAGCCAAGCTTGAGGCTCCTGATGGCTCTTCTGGGGCCATCATTGCCGTCCATGAGGGCTTTATCGGCGAGCAATGCGAGATAACAAAGCACGGCTGGATGGGAAACGACACCATCGATATTAGTAACATCTGCGGCGCCGGTGGAAACATGACTTGCCAACAGGTCGGTGACCCGGCCGGAAAATTTAAAGGCCACGAGACCTTCATGCAGGCTTGCAACACGGCATACCACAAGCTTCCACAGGATAAGAAGAATCAGCTTGAGGGTCATGTCTTCCTCGATGACAAAGGCAACGTCAAACGTATTGGGGCTCCGAAGGACTTCAGGCCCCTAGAGGAGTTCGTGAGGACCTTTGCTGATGGACGAACTTATATCGGCGTTGGCGCATGGTAAGTCCTATTACGATTACTGTATAGCGTAAACTACCTAATAGAATGCTAACAACTTTATAGGGGGCCCAACAATGGAAACCCTCACGACAATGAGCAGAGCAAGGCCGGCAACGGTAGCAAGGATATTCTAATTATTTACAGTGTATGGCTACATCATGGCAGGAAACCACATGTTATTAATCTTTTACTAACATTTAGTAGGATTACAACGCTGCCCCCGACCCCAACAAGCCATTCACCGGCCAGTCCGTTGAAGCGGCCTCTTTCGTATCATTCGCCGCAGCCCCCGCAGGACTGGTTGAACAGCCCATGACTGCCAGCTCCTCGGGCCCCGGTATTCTCCTGACCAATCGCTCTAGCAAGGCGCATAGATACTTCTTCTACGACAACTACTGGAACGGCAACGGCGCGGCTGGCGCTAACTTCGACCACCCGCTGACGAACGTCGAAGTGGAGCCGAACAAGACCGTCCACGTGCCCCTGAAGCTCGAGTTCAAGGGCCGCGTGCAGCGCGGAGACCAGCAGCCCGCGACGTGGGGCGAGTTCCAAGTCAAAGCCGTCGACGACGGGCGTGCGCACGGCGACATCTCGATCCAGCAGGGGTGCGACGGCGCTGCTACCGTTGCTTCGACGGACGGTACCAACGTGTCGAACGGGTTTACCCAGGACATCCTCAAAGACGCGCCGGCGGCCGCGCTCGACAAGAAGCCTAGCGGCGAGAAGACGCTTGCTAGCACCGAGGGTAACTGGAAGGGCCCGGGAAACCAGGCTGCTATCGATTGGGCGTACAAGAAGCTGGGACAGGGGAAGGCTTACATTAAGGGGGGGAGCGGAGTGCCGGATGTGGCTAGTAAGAACAACTGCCTTCACTTCACCTTTTACGTGCCATAAGTAGAATAGGGGTACTTTCGTATTTATTTCCGCAGAAGTTTGATTTAGGTTAAACGAGGGATATCTCAGGGACGGACAGATACGAGAGGGATCCAGCGATAGGCTGATATAGAACAATGTGATTGGCGGGGGCTGGGTGAGGTAGCTGTATGTACATAGACTCTTCTTCATATATAGCACATTCATTTAAGTACCTAGATTAATTTTATTATATTAAAACAATCGACTTAGTATTGTACTCAAGTGTGACAGGACTCTTCATATATATTTCGTGTTATGAGAGTCTAACAAGTGCCCTTTACCATTTATCACCCATGCTCATCCATAGACGCATAAGAGAAGACCATATTGGATGGTGATACTGCATATTATCGGTTATGGCTGAAATTGGGGTCAAGTTGGTGCCTTAAGGCGTTTTCCAACTCTTCAGCACCCTAGAGTAGTTTCACTTTCCATCGCCTCGGTCATCAGATATTTACCATATTTCGTATAACTTTGGATGAATACTCGTACGACGACTATGGAGCCCTTATCTAGACCAAGAACAACGGAGGAACTCGTCGAGCGTTTAAAGAGACTAGAACTCGGCTCGGATAACGATCCGACGATTACAAGGCTCAAGCCGACCTCAGAACGCAATCGAGAGGCTCACGCACTTCGTTCTCTATCGTACTCTATGGTACAAACGTTTTACAATCATCCAGAACGATTATACGCTGTCGAGGCTGCCTTGTTATCCCCATTTTGCAAGGAGGAGAGCTACGTCCTTCTGTTCGATGCCTTCGTTAATTCAATCGCAGCCGATTCAAGCGGGAGCAATATTCCGGACATCAACGTTTTGAATTCCTTTAGCATCATGTTACGTTCAACTCAGATCGAGCACATTGGAAAGAAGCTTCCTCTTGGATATGCTATTCAGTCCCTTATGAACCGGCTCACAACAGCTTGTTCGACAGCTAACGATATGACCCAATATGAATTATTGCGCACATTGTCAACGACTCTAGATGCCATGAACGAATTTAAATTCGAAGGCATCAGCGACACCCGAATAATGCAGCCCCTATTCGACCTGCTAGAAAATGCGATCGAGCACCCCGAATTGCGTCTCTCTCACGCAGCACGATATGCAAAACAGGCCTTGCGCGGCATCCACAGCGACGTTAGCCCATGGCAAAAACTCGGCAAAAGTTCATGGAACGTAATCAAGGGTGGCGCCGCAATTGCTGGTTCCGTCGCGACTTTGGATCCGAGCAAGTTACTGGAAGGCTTGGAAGCAGTAGGCGAAGTATCGAATATGGTAAAGCTAATCACAGACATCATTGATGAGCTCAATAAAATAAGCGACATGAATAAGGATGTTCAAACCGTAAAGAGTCCAAGGCAATGGTATGTAGCGCTTCGTTATACGGACTTGATAATCCAGGGACGAAGGGACATCCTCCTTGGATCTTTCCTTGAGAACCTCGAGCCATCATTGGGGAAGGACGAAAACTTTTTGTGTGGACTCTGTGCACTTCTAGAACAGGCCATCCACGATAATTCAGATAACGAGGTCATTAAAGTCCTGAAGGAGTTCTTAACCCATCAAAGGGACAACTCCAAGTTTAGACCTGTTCATGAATGGATCTATTTGATAGCTGGGCCTGCGAAGTCAACGAAATCCTCTAGGGCTGGCCGATTGTGGTTTAAGCTGCACCTCTCGCGGAATGCAACATTGCTGCGGGATACCAGAGAACGCCACCCCAAATACCAGGGAACTTTCTGCTGGAGAAGGCGTGGCCTACTTGCCATGAAGCTAAGGTATTTTACGCTGATCAAGTGATACGATACTATTATACCAATGAGGTATTCGGGCGACTTAATGTTGAACGGATTGGTAATAATGAGAGGTTACCCATGGACAAGTGCTATATCAACTTAGCTATTGTGCAAAGCGAAGCGGAAGAAAACAATGATTTTGAACCGTCTTCATGGACGTTCCATAACCGTCTAGGCATCTGGGAACCTAGGAGGTCAAATCGTTTCTCGGTAGCGGATCTCTTCCAACCGAAAAAAGACACCAAGAAAGGTACCCAAGGTTTATCTTTTTTCGTCATTTATTAACATGCTATTAATCCTAGCTGCGCCTCGAAGTTGAGGAATCTTGTATTAACAATCTCATTAGAAAATCAACCTAACTACCAACGTGTTCTCATCCGCGGACAAGCCGGGATGGGCAAGAGCACTCTCTGTAAGAAGATAGTTTATGACTATATTTACCATAATATGTGGTCAACAATCATTAACCGTATCATTTGGCTACGTCTACGTCAACTCAAGGGTCAAAACATGCAGAAGTATAACTTGAACCGGTCATTATACGAGCGTTATTTCGATGATGGCTCCCAGGAGGGTAGACTGCTTGCTAGGGCATTATATTCCGAAGTTATCAAGGAGGAAAGTACAACGCTCTTTATTCTTGATGGACTAGACGGAGTATTGGGGGAAATATCTTCGGGCGAGTCCGAATTACTCCTAACCCTCTTGCGTGCGCCTCGAGTGATTATTACAACGCGGCCTTATGCGGCTGACCGAGCTATACTTAAAAATATCGATCGGGAAGTTGAGACAATCGGATTCTATACAGATCAAGTAGATCAGTATATTAAAACCGTGGCGCCGGGGAGTATAGATGAAATCAAAGCTTTTCTAAGTACCCGTCCGAGAATCGAAGAATTGGCAAGAATCCCCATCCAGCTCGATGCTTTTTGTTACAGTTTCGAAAAGGGGATTTTTGACGAATTCGATAGTCCACAGACCATGACTGAGCTCTACAATACCATCGAGAAGATGATGTGGAAGAAGGATGTGGTTCAGTTGGAAAAGAATCGCCAAGGCCGACCGGGGGCAATTTCTAAGAATGTGGCCATGAGATTGAACTTCAAAGAGATTAGAGGTTTAGTCCAAGCAGAAGTAAACGTGCTACAGGCCCTTGCATTTGACGGATTCAACAATAATACGGAAGAATTTGACTCAAAATATATGGACAAGTTCTGGGACAGAGAAGATATCCTGACTGAACATCTCGCCAAAGCGACGTACTCAATGTCACCAAAAGATTTGGACGAATTATCATTACTTCGCACTTCAGACGGCGGCAGCGCAGCTAGGAATAGCAGCTATCACTTCCTCCACTTAACACTTCAAGAATATTTTGCGGCGCAGTACTTTGTGCAACATTGGCCGGACAAGCAGCTACCGCAGTTGGGAGTGAGCAACGACGAATTTCTTCGCAGAGAAAAATACAACCCGCGTTTCAACACCATGTGGCGCTTTGTTACTGGCCTACTTCATGCCAAGGGGGACGCGAGAAAGTTCTTTGAGATAATCGAGACAGAGCCATATGACCTTCTCGGATCCGCACATCGACGTCTTGTGGTGTATTGTCTGGACAAAGTTGTGAAACTACAAAACGCGGCGGATTTCGAGCTTCGAAAGAATTTAGAAGATTACTCAAAGCAGTGGCTATCATTCGAACTGAGATTGGGGAAAAGGAACGGTGACTATTGGAAATTCGAGTTCGAATATCCAGAAAACATATTGCAACAATGCTTGTCGGAGACGGATGATGAGTTATTCCAATGCATTATTCTATGGAAGCTGGAGATGCGCCCCATACTCTCACTAGATACAGTTGACCAAGTTGTCAAGTGTTGTGAAAGCAGCGACCGGGAAGTGAAAATTGAGGCTCTCAAGGTGCTCTCATCTCACAGGGATGTGATACCAAGTAACTGCTTTCATACGATAACAAACCTAGTAGGGGATTCCGACAGAGATATCCGATTGCACGCAGGCTTAGTATTATATGCACCATCAAACTTGCCAGATGTCATTTTCTCGGAGCTAATCGCACTGGCAAAACAAGGAGATGAGGACATACGGACCACCGTATTCGACGTCTTGACATCCTTTTCGACCCTACCAGAGAAGACTCTCCTAGAGGTGGTAGCAATAGTACCAGATCTACGTAACGATGGTAATATAGGATATATAATGAGTATATTAGGAAACCAACTTGACCTACCAGAAGAAATCACACTAAAAATGCTGGACTCAATCCAACAAAGGTGCCGATTGAAAAAACCACTGAAAACACCGTGGGGGGATCTAACCTGGGTTCGACCGTGGATAGCATCTAAACAATCGGGCCGCATTGCGCCTAAAATTGTAGAGAAGCTACTGAATATGTTGAAGGACCCAAATAGTAACCTCCGCAAAGCTGTTGCATATGCTTTTCACGGTTACAAACTGAAGGACGATCCAGAGATCCTTCCCAAAATCATGGATCTATTCCAGGAGCCGAGCCTGTCTGATGGTGCAGGACATGTTTTATATCGAGATCGAGATCTACCAGAAAACATCCTCCACCAAATTGTAGATTGTTTAGAAAATTATGACACAGATATCCAATCCACCGCAGCGGATATCTTGAGATCACAAGTCGACAAACTCCCAACAGCTATTATTGAAAGGATAGGCAGTTCACTCAATAATCAGAGGAATAGACATAATGCGACAAAAGCCTTACTTGGGCGGCACTCTCTACCAGAACAAATCTCGCAAACAGTATTCGACCAATTCAAAGATCAAAGGACACGCGTTAAAGAGCAGGAATACGTCCTACGGATTCACTGGACTCGCTCAACCCTACCAGAGAGTATTCTTCAGGAACTCCTAGCTTTGTTACAAGTCGAAGACGAAAAGCTACGTTCCATGGCGCAGGGGGTGTTTTTGACCTGGTCACCGGTCTCGAAAATTGCTATTAGAAAAATAGCAATCCTATTGGACGATAAAAATATAAACGTCCAGTATACCGCAACTAGGATTTTATATCGCCAACCATCCTTACCTAGGGAAGTCCTTCGTAAGATGATTTCGATATGGCATTATAGCGAATTAGATATTGGGGATATTATTACTGGGATGAACGATGAACTGATGCCACAGTTCGTCATGATGCCTGAGTTCCTTTTAGATATTACAATACGACTAATGAACCACCCTAGTCGCCACATTCGACTTGATATAGCAATACACCTGAGCAAGATAAAAGATTTACCGGAAGGTGTTCTTAAGGAGGCCGTACATTTGTTGGGGGTTGAGAACGAGGAAATGTTAAACAATGAAAGCAAATTGATATTTGGTCGAACGCCGGGCTCATCGGACGATATTCTTAAAGAAGCGGTACATTTATTGAACCATCCAAATGAATATATCCGTGATAGCGTGGCTTCAATTTTTGCTTCCCGGAAGGCCATTATGTCAGAGGAGGTTCTACACAGTCTGGCGCCCCAGTTGAAGGGCTACAATAGCGGTGTGCTCGAAAGCCTAATACGTCATCTAGGATCACAGCCGATATTGCCAGAAATGATGCTTCAAGATCTCGTTACTATGCTAAGCCATCCAGAAGAGCGCACCAGAAATGTCGCAGCAGAAATTCTCACCGACAGCCTAGATCAATCGGATCTAACATTCAATTCATTATTTGACCTTCTGGATGAGGAATCGTTTGTTTCGTTATTTAAATTCTGGATGGAATACAGCCTTCAGACGCAAATTACGCGGTGTGTCGATGGAAAGAGTTCTGTAATAGACTTGCTGGAAAACGACAGGAGAATCCCTCTAGACAAGTTCAAGAATGCGGTCCGTAAAGCGCGAGAATCCTTAGGTGTCCCCTACAAGGACTTTGGTCAAGTGCTCTAAAGCCTTCGTTTATATTGTCTTCTACTTCTATCGAGCCTCAAAAGCTGCACATAATATCTAGGAGCTAATCATCCCTAGCATTTTTTTTTCTTCTTGGAAAGGGGTATGGTGACTTCCACTGCTTATTTCCTCGGCATTGAGTTAGTTTAATCGCATAATTACTACGGGTTCTTACTACATTGCGAGAAGTTGCTAACTTTGTGAATTCCCCTCGAAGACTTATTTTATTTTAATAGATTTAGAATTGCGACAAACAGAAGATAGTTCGTAAATGTCAGGAGGTAGAACTAGAAAGCATGAAAAGTCCTTCGTTGTTCCGCGAGGAAGTCTACCTACCTAAAGCAACGGAACTTACGGCATATTCTTCAACACTGGCGTTCGAGCATGGTTCTGTAGGGGTATACTTTATAGTTTGACTTCTGACTTAGCAGTGATATTTGTAGAGACAACACATCTTTGTCGCTGTGTGGCAGGCCGGTTCTCAGGACGCTTTTACAATCCCGAAGCGTGTGCTTGCTGTCCTTAACATCGATCATCGTCTCTAGATTCAAACAAACCGTTAGTAGTTCTTATGCATTTCGTAAGTACCTATAGGCTACCTCAATGACCAGGGTGTTCACAAGGGTCTTGTCCCGGTTGGCTGGGTATGACGAATATTTCCACAGCATCAACCCTGGCAGCATATCATGTCATGGATTAAACTACATAACGGCGGGGCCTGGGGTTTCAATCGTACGGTCCGCATCTCGCGAGCTGATGGATTCGAAGGTTGGGATTGGGTGGCCGAGCATAATTAAAACTAGATGAATACAAGGGTCTTAAAGAATCCAGACCTCAAACTACGTGACACGTATCATGTCGTGACTTCATCTAGCTATGAAGCTATGGCGCTTGATGCGAAGCGCATAGGAAAAAACCCCGCCTCAGGAACTACTAAGGCTGTGGTACTGCATACGATGTGTGTGGTAGTATGAGTGGATTTAAGCTGATGTTTGCTATGTAAATGGGCGGTGGGAAAGGAGTCTTTGTTTCGAAAAAAGTCCCTCAATTCGCTTAAGAATTATAGTATAACGACTAGTTAGTAGATCTAGACCGCTCGTTCAGTAGTGACAACGACATCATCTAATTATTCACCCCAATGACAAAATTCAATAAAAACCACTTCTTATGTTGATCAAAAGACGTACTATCGAGTAGTGGATATAAAGATATGGGATGGAGGGAGGAGTTGGTGGAAGTTCATGTGCCAATCTCTTGGCGTCGGGCCTATGAGAACTCTGAGATGCACATTCAGGAGGAGGTGGGAATATGGAATGTGGAATGTGGGACGTGGGCACCGCAACCATCAACTCCACCGTTCCGTGCCGTAACCGAATCATGACACCACCCGCATTGGTGTGAAACCTCCATGGCCGTATATCCGCTTTATGAAGGTACCCCTCTCAAGGTGACCCTCCCGAGTCCACAAGAGAGCTACCTGTGGGGCCCAGTGCCGTGACACGTGTACGAGGGTCTGCATCGCTTCTAACGTAGTCGCGGTTAGAGTTACATGGCAGCTGGAGCCTACAGCAAAGGAGTTTTGTGTTACAGAATCGTACAAGATGTAGTGACTAGATACAAATGTAGTGACTACCTCGTATGTAGACAGCCCTATATAAACAAACCTCCTCCCCCGCGTCTTGCTCGAGAATTTAAAAACTAAACACCAAGCCCACACCGACTTACATCTTCAAGACAACTTCCTCAACACTTCATCAAAATGTCTAACTTCTACGTCTCCTCCGAAGACATCCGCGTGGATGATGGTCACATCCTCAAGGCCCGCCTCCGAACCGAGGACGGTGGTGAGTCCCACAGCGAGGTCGACCTAAACCAGTTCATAGGCAACGACAACGGTGAGTGCCTCACAGCCACTTGAAGCCTTTTCTTCGCTATTAGATACTAATATGTCCTCGATAGGCCGCTTCGAATGGGGTGGTGTCAGTAAGTAGCGACGTGTCGTATCCTGCTCGGGACCTCCCGTCTTACTAATACAACAGACTTCGCGGAAACCGCCCGAAACATATCCTTCGCGATCGAGGGAGGAGACAGCGTGCCGGTCCTACGAGCCGAGCTACAGAACCTCGACGGCGACTGGGTTGGCGCCGACGTCAACCTCGGAGAGCGAATCAGCAACGACAACGGCCAGTTCCGATTCGCCTAGAGAGCCGCGATGGCCTCTATTACCACCCAACAATGCTATGAAGAGTTGCTGGGCGCGGTCCTACCTCGTCTTTGGGTTTGAAATTACACGCGAGTGATGGAAAAATAAGTAGAAATATACCCAATTGACCCAAGATAGAAGATAGGCTTGATATCTAGGTACTGAACTATTTCCGAATTCTACATGATTAACCTCGTGAAGGTCTGGATTGTTATGATAATGTGCTACGCCCCTAACTCCTTAAATTTAATCATATCTACCAGGCACCTAGACTAGGTAGTCTACCTTTCGTATCAAAGCCGATGTGAGATGTCGCCCTTTTGTATCACTTATATGATATTATTTCAATATAGTAAAATCCCTCCAAATCCTTTTTGATTGGATGATAAAGTCGTCAATTATGTAGGACTCAGCCAGGGAAAATTTCAAGAGGTTCCAGCCTCCTAGGCGCGTGCTTGGCTATTCGGTGTAGTGACAATTGCTGCTTCCGTGCCAATAGTAACGAATTCAACTGACGAATTTATGTCATTTGCTAACAAATACGAGGGCGTTAGGATGACATACATTTTCTCTTGATGACTGCATGTTCAATGAGGAGGTATACTTTCCAGTCGTCTCTTATCGTTACATACCGTTTTTGGTATACTCCGCATCGTAAATCCTTCTCCTATGTTTTGTTTACGCGGGAACTTGAAAAGGGGGGAAGGATAAGACGTCAATAATTTCGCACTGTGTAATTTATACATACCTACAAATCGCTTTAGAATTAAGATAGAGCTTAGGTAGTATTAGGTGAAGTTCTACTACATTGAGAACTAGTATAAATTGAGGTAATATGAATATAAATTGAGGAGAAGTAGCTAAGTTATCTGCCATTGCCTTTTTAAGGATACAGATCTTCGCCAACTTGCCACAATTAATATTACGAAATCGGCATTCACGTTTCTCAACTTTATAATAACCGCTGCCCTTTCATAATCATTACTCAGCCGCTAAATTGTCCAGAGCCAAACCAAGCACACGAAAAATAAACACAAAATCCTCCATGGACGCACAGAATCGCCGCTTGAAGGTACGGACGACGACGGCATATGTGTAGAAGTTATAGCAAACGTCTTAATTGGCCCACTCGTTGGTTCCAAAGTATCTATTGGAATAACGGTAAGTGTAGGGGCCGCGATAGTTGACGTCGATGCTGCTACCGTGTTCAAAGTCCTTCCACTACCGGAATGAGTTGTAGTTGTCGAGGAGGAACTCTCATCTGTGGCAGTAGCGAGCGTAATTCCCATTATCGACTCATAATTCGTGATGATCTCCTTTGGGAAATCTTTAAGATCAGCCTCTTGCCACCCAACGGTTATCTGACCGTGCTCTATCCACATATCAGAAAGTGTTGTATAGATGTCCGTCGTGGTAATGTTCGGCAAGAGAAGAAAGGCCATAGGCGTAGTGACGGTAGAGGTACAGAAATACCCGGACATGTCGGAGAACCCGCTACAACTACCTATTAGATACGCTATCACTTAGGAAGTAGAGTGCCTGAACCTTTGACAACACCCTCCAGTCCAGAGAGTTTTGCCATCGTTTACGTTGTAGGCTGATCTTGCGATGGTCATATAATTTGGACATATACCGGGGCTAAGGGTTTGCAGTTGATCGGTATACTGGCTTGGCACGCATTTCGAGAACGACGGATCGACCCATCCCCTTGTAGGAGATAGGGTACTTGAATGAAAGGAATTGTTGTCGATATATACGGCGAACCTGGTCAAGCACCACGATGGGGCTGTGAATACAGTAGTAAGTGCTTGCATTGTGGTTTAACTGCCCCTAATAGTGTATTTTCTCCTAGTTATTCTTCATAGGTAGTGGATAAGAAGGTATGAGAGCAAGGGTCCTTCTACGTTATAAATAATAAACAAGACGCTTACGTGGACGTACGCATTGTGCTTTCCCTGATCAAGACCTTGACTCATTACGTGTTGTACCTCCCAAGTGTGACACATGTACTTACTACGTGATTGTGTACTACGTGATTGTGGATACTCGAGTCACGTAGCATGAGTTGTTTGACTAACGTAGGTACTAAGGTACCTGATATAACCTCATAAACACCCAAGGCAGTTGCCAAAAGTCCTTGAAGTAGCATAAGATATTTCCCTCGCATCATCCTCCTCGGGTTTTTCTTTTTCCTCACAACATCGTTTTCCAGGGTTCCAAGCTTCAGTCTCAACATCGTGATAGTAAGTACACCACAACCGTCCTTAAAAATAGTATAGGAACTCTTGCTTCATCGTCACGGCAACCTCAACCTACAAAAGCTTACACGAACGAATAGAGAAATAAACAAATATCCCTCTGCGTTCTCAGGAACATCACTACCGGCAACCAAAAGACGAAGAGGTCTTCAGCAAGAAGCGTATTTCTCTCCTCTAAATCTATCATATCCAATATGGATCCTCAACCTTACTCTCCGCTCTTTTCACGCCTCCCGCAGAAGATTCAAGACAGAATTTGGACTCTTGTCCTTGAAACGACACCACCTACGGCCTACTTCCTCGGAATCGAAGCGATAAAAGATCCGAGAGGAGAGGATTCAGACCCGGGAGTTGATTCAAAAGTCATATTCAAACGCCTCTGTCCGTCACACAAATTCCCTTCCACGTTGCCTCCTTGGAACGATATAGATACGCTGTTGCAAATATGCCAAGGATCACGGGCGGCAGTGATCCGCTATCGCCAAATACACCAGCATACTCGCCTCTTGGAATTAGCGGTTTCCCGGACGCAGTACGTGGGGCCCAACGATGCCGTAATGGGCTCGACCCAATACAACCCCGCTACACAGGATTTCCCTGGTGTCAGTCTCGACGCCTCATCGGATCTCGTCATGCTAGATACTTACTGGAGCCGTATGGTCCTGCGTCATCGTCATCGTTACGGATTCCTCAACCAAGCAGCAGTCCGCTATGTCGCTATACCGATGAACAGGCGAAGTGCATCCTATTTTGACTACGTCGAGGAAGTTCTAAGAGCCTTTCCGGATATGTTGCTGTTGTACATTGTGGTCGAACCTGCACAACTTGAAGCACTCAAGCAGAGCTGGCTGTATGACCGTAGTGTTACGGGTATAGGCCTTCGACTTTTCGCAGAAGAGAACTACGACCCCGATTATATTGGTTGCAAATATTCCATCTGCCCAGGACCCAAAAGATTCCATTGCTTTGGTAGAGAATACTTCGAGATATCGCCTCTACAGTTGACAACACTAGGAGGGGTATTGAATTTACTATTCGAGCTGGTCGAATCAGTAGATGCTTTAGATATTTTCAGGATAAGGATTATGACATGGCGAAATGAAGAATAGTTTCATATAGTGTCCTGGCAGGCTTGGGGAATTGGAGGTAGCTAGAGGTAGATAGACTACCTACCTATAAATTGTGAGCTTCCTCTAAATTATCTGTTTGTTTTCAAAAAGACCAAACAAGTCCAATTCTATTAAGCAGCCTAGAACAATTAAGATTGCCGCAACTATCCCAAATCAATGGTAGCGTAACAGTGATTTCATTTTTTATTCTTTTTTTTAGAAAAAAAAAAGAAATATCATGCTGAAAATTGAAATTGATGACAAAGGTTAAGTAAAGGAGGCAAGTTATCAGGTTTATAGCAGGTTAAATTACACCGCAGTCCAATCCCGGACCAGCAATGCGACACAAGCCAATAGAAAACACCTATGTTTATCGGGTATTCGTATCAGCAGTATGAGCAATTTCTGCTGAAAAGAACCACTGAACGTATTTTAGAAGATCGCTTCATTTGTCATAACCCATTCAATAAAAAATCACCGATTCTCATCGCTACCCCTTTCCAGTGTATTCCACAGCAGGGGCTCGCTTGTTACTACTAGCAATGTCAACCTCTAATACAAATGAAACACTCCCCTCCTTCGAGGCCCTTCGTAGTGCCGGGAATCACGCGCGTTTCGTCCGTGATATGTCTCGCCTCTTTTGGGCTTTGAACGGGCCTCTAGAAACTTCAATCTGGGTTCTAGATGATGAGTATAGCCCGGACCTAGGTCGAGAGGCCTACTTCCGACAGACTGTTGCGGGCACTAGCTGGCATCCGATATCGCAGCTGCCAATCACCAGGCCGGGGGTCTCGTCCATCACGCTGCGGGTTTACCAACTTGACAAATGGGAGGATGACTGGTTCGAATACCATGATAGTCATGCGAATCCCGATGATCCAGAGTGCGTGTATGGGTCACTTCCGGATTATAACTCGGACGAGGATGAGGAGGGCCCGGAACATTTGCTAGAGTGTTGCGGGGCGGCGCGCCCGCGCAAGAAGAGAGCCCAGTTGATGGTGAGGGCTTCGGCGGAGTTTGTCACAATACACGACTACGTATCCGCGGTGCATCCGTGGCTAATGAGCTTGCGTGACGATATCCTGCAGGCAGTGGCATTATTTGAGGATAGGCCTTTGCCGACGGAAACAAAACTAGCCTTGAATTACAACGGCCTAACGTATGTAATGGTTGATAAAGAGGAGGAGTGGATTTCCAACAGGAAGAATGCACCTAGTTGGATGAAGTTGAGGCTGGACCCTGCTAGTATGCTTCCCGCGTCTAACTCTTGAGCTGTTAGTAACGTCAAAACAGGTTCTTGGAGTAGGGATACTTGGGAGTGGGTTAGACTACAGGATTAGGACATGTGTCGCTCACCGGGTTAGTAAAGTAACTCACGATGTGTAATTTGAAGAAGTCATATTTGTGTTGGAGGTGATAAGTTGATGAGGCCTGATTCTAAGAATACATAAAGGGGCTATGATTTAGCTTAATGACTCTATCAATACACGGCAAAACCTAGGTATATTATAGTTAGTTATTGATATTCGATTCTGACTTTTTCCTGTTGCAATGGGCACTTGTTTTGTTGAAATCGAGAATGTCACTAAAGTTCTGATGGACTTGATATCCTAAATTTAGGGTTAATACTCTCATATACGAAAAAGCACAAGGCAGAAAGAGAGTCTCTTAGAAGGCAACAAGCCCAGATTCAGGTTTCATGTAATCGAATAACATCAATGTATGTTGGCGGCGCTGTACCCACATTCTAGCCTCATAATAAAGGCTTGGCATATTTTAATGGATGGTCTTCTTATTTGGGGGACGAAACCGGGTGGGTTTTAACAGGGAGTATTTAAAGGGCAGCGCCTAGAAGGCAACGTAGGTAATTGTTTAAATAATGGCTATAAATTAATCGTTTCTTGTTATTGTTGAGTTTGGTAACTATCAAATCGACAGGCCGAAGGGATAGATGTGTACGTAGGAGAAGTGTATGAATATAGAGGTACATAAAATATTAGGTACCTAGGTAATTTATTCATAAAACGCGGTGATTACATAACATCTCGGTACTTTACTCTTCTATAACGGAAGGTGGTTTATCTCCATCTTTCATAAAGCGCTCATTAAATGCACCCGGAAACCCAAACCTGCAACACCAATAGGTGAATTATAAAAGCCGAAAATGGCTCCGGTTCATAAAATAGCTCTCATCCAGCTTCATCCTAAGGTATGTTATCCCTCCTATAAATGGTGTCAACGAACTTGTCATAAGTTGAAATAGACCCCGTAAAGAGGATGGGTATAATTGTCTCAGATATGAGTTGTCATAACTGGGCCGCGTTATAATTGTACGAATTTTTGTTAAGGCCTTAATTGCTTACTCTTTTATAGCCCCTCGCCCCCGCAGAGAACTTTGCCAAGGCTGAGTCGTTCATCAAAGATGCTGCTAAGGAAGGATGCAGTTTAGCTGTTCTACCCGAGTACCACCTTACCTCCTGGGTTCCGGATGAGCCAAATTTTAAGGATTCGTGCGCAGACTCGGCATTGTACTTGGAAAAGTATCAGCAGCTGGCCAAAGAGCTGAGTATCTGCATCGTGCCTGGCACGATCGTTGAGTTGGAAGGCGGGTCTTTACACAATATCGCATACTTTATATCTTCAAATGGAGAGATACTCGGGCGATATCAGAAGAAAAATCTCTGGCATCCGGAACGTCGTCATCTAGTATCGTCAGCTAAGCAGCCGCATGAGGCTTTCGACACGTCGTTAGGACGTGTGGGATTGTTGATTTGCTGGGATATCGCGTTCCCAGAGGCGTTCCGGGAGCTGATTTCAGATGGTGCGCAAATCATCTGCGTGCCTACGTTTTGGAGTATGAAGGACGTGTCAGATGAGGGATATGCCCTCAATCCCGATGGTGAGGCGCTATTCTTGAACAGTACTGTGGTTAGTCGGGCATTTGAGAACACTTGTGCAATCGTGTTCGTGAATGCGGGAGGACCGCCGGAAAAGGGGGAGAAGACTAGCTTCGCGGGGTTGAGTCAAGTCAGCGTTCCCCATATTGGTTCGCTTGGGAAGATGGACCGGTCCGAAGGGATGTCAATTGTGGATCTAGACATGAACATTCTGAAGATTGCAGAAGACAACTACAAAGTAAGAGAAGACATGAGGGGAGAAGGTTGGCATTATGCATATACGCAAATTAGGGACGGGAGCAAACTGTAAAGGTGTGGTTGAAATACGCCAAATCTTGACCTTGATTGATGGTAATGGTACCTATTTTATTGAATTATTGAATTACTTGATAGGTCTACAAAGTAAATTCTGATAGAACACTCGTTAAACATTTGTTGCCGGCCCCCCCCTTTTTTTTTTTTTTTTGGCAATGTAACTCAGGTACCTAAAATATCAATTGAGCGGCAATCGGAGGTATGATCTATTAAACCTACAATGACGTCTGAACTCTGAATGATGTTGCCATTAATCGAGTTTTTTTTTATTCGAGTTTTTTTTATTCGAGTCGCCATTCGCTTGTACTGATCCAAAGGAAGAATTCTAGAACCAAGACCCCTACTAACACCACATGTCGGGACCGGTAATCGATAAAGCATGTTTAGCAGGTCATTAGCAGTTGCCGGGTTCAATTGCGGCATCTCAATGGTGGAATATGGCATGCGTTTATGCGCTAAACTAATTAAAGCTTAGATCTGTATTGCGTGATCGACTTGTACAAAGACGAATCGCGCATTCTCGCAATCTAAATGCGATTTAACAAATTATTCGCGCCATCTTTTCCCTCGACACCCGCATGTTCGCCGCCCGGTTCACCACCGAGAACCGCTGGTTGGCGAAGAAGCGAAAATGGGCTCAGGAAAAGTATGGAGCGTCTTTGGCGTGGAGGTAGGTTAAGCCTTTACTTTTTCCCGGGGGGACTTTTAGAAGTAATAAAACCGCATCGTCTCCTTTTCGAAGCCATCTCCTTTTTTGTGCTGGTCGTGAGGCTATTTGGTATCATACGCCAAGTATTCATCGTGCTCTTTCGTTAAGAAGGGGAGTGTCCATTCTCCTGGAACTTTCCCGATCCTAGTCAAATCGTGCCGGTTTTGCCTGGTCTGATTTACTGTACCCTCGTCTCCAGGAGGAATTTGCAAATTCCTATTCCTACAAATTCTGGCTTCCAAAAAGCCCGAGAGAACCAGTTAGAATGCAATTGAAGCAGGCCGAAGGTAGTGGTGGCCCTTTGGCAGATCAAGTAACTATGCCGGAATCCAAAACCTCCCGCGCCGAATTCACCCGGCAGTCGTCGACTCTGCCTTTCGGTCAGCCCGTATCCTTGTCTTCGATATCCGGCCCTACCTATGTTACCGGCCAACTGCTCGTTCAACAAATCGCCTACACTTTGTCCGATAAGATCTTTTCATACTCCCCTGAGACATTCGATCTCGATGTTGCCGTGAAGGATTGGGCTCAGAATGGGGAGAAGAACATTCATGGATATCCTACTACCGTCTTGCCTCTTCAGACCCGTTCCGGCGCCGGCGCTTTTGCCCTTGGTTATATTTTCTCGAAAGACTTCGATTTAAGCAAGAGAAATATCCCCCAAACTTTGTTAGCACCGTCGCTTAGTTTGCGCCACCTCCGTTCGGCCTTAGATCAGTTAGCTTTATTGTATGGAGTTGCGAGCCCCTTCGTCGCCCATGTAGCCGCTACTGATTATGCTGCCGATGCAGGTCTTGTTGCGGAATATGGCACTGCTCTTCAACTTTCCGAAGAGCTCGGACTAGGTCTTATATCAAGCGGCTCCGCATATGAGGCACAGCACATCTCACTCTTTGCTACACTGATGGCTAAGATTTTACCGACTATCCATATCTACGATGGTGTTCGTACATCTCGCGAGACGTTGAGAGTTATCGATGCCTTGAGCCAAACCGGTACCGCTGAGATCTTTAAGAAGATCTCGAAGACAGCCGAAGCCTTGAACAGCCGCCTCGATAGTGCTGGTAAAGTTTTAGAACTCCTCCAGGCTTTCAACGACGAGCTTGGCACTGACTATGAGCCGTTCGAATATGTCGGTCACGACGCCGCCGAAATCGTCTATGTTGTTTTCGGTAGCGTCGAGGCCCAACTTGCCAAGCAGGTCGTACCCAAGTTGGCTGCTGATGGAATCAAGGTGGGAGCCGTCGTCGTCAGAATTTACAGGCCCTTCATCGAAGAGGCCTTTATCAAGGTGCTCCCCGCTTCTACCGCTCATGTCGCAGTTCTGGGACAAGTCCCGAACGAATCCGCCGTGTCCGATGCTTCAGTCCAATCTATCTTGTATTCGGATGTCTTGACCGCAGTTTCATTCTCGAGTAAATGGGACTCGACTCCTGTTGTTACAGATGTAAAGTACGCAGCGTCGTATGCGTTTACCCCGTCCAGTTTCGCCGCTGCAGTTACTCAGGCTATACTTAAGAATCCGGTCTCCAGTATCCAGTTGCCACAGCTCGAGTCTGTAGAACAGTACATATTCTGGGATACCGATGGTTCGGTTGCCCTCGTTGCACCAACTGTCATCGGTAGCCTTTTGTCGCGAGATTCCACTACTAATGTCTATTTCAACGAATCCTACGATAATCTAGTGCAAGGTGGCGTTGTTCGATCTGATTTAAGAACCTCTAAAATCACGATCGATGCACCTTTCGCAGCTGAAGACGCCGACGTCGTCCTAGTGGGTGACGAGAAGCTACTGAAGGAGGTGGCTGCGTCCCAAAGTGTCAAGGACAATGGCAAGTTGATCTTAAAGTTGCCTAACTTCAAGGATGAAGATGTCGAAAAGCGGATACCTTCTACTATCCGCCAGGATGTTCAAGCGAGGAACATCTCACTTTACATACTGGACTCTTCTTCGTCTCCGGCTTTCGAGACCGATTCCAATGCTGCGAGACTATTGGTTGAGCTTGCTTTCCTCAAGATCGCAAAACCTGACCTTAAACAAGAAATCCTAGACAAGTTGGCTACGCTTGAAGCTAATCTTCCTACTCTAGAAGAATGTATTGATGCTTTAGACAAGTCTCTCAAACGCCTCGAAGTTCCAGAATCCTGGGCTGAGAACGCCGATGACGCGACACAAAATCTCCCCCAGGTCTTGAAGATAAATAGCTTTGCTACGTTTGACAAGCAAGAGCCGGAGCAAGATTTACAGCTTGGCAGCTGGGAGTCTGCTGCGAAGGGTCTCGTTTTCAAAGAGGCATACAATACCGACATTTCTCTACGTCCGGACTTAACTGTCCAGACGTACACGATTCACGTTAAAGAGAATCGCAGGCTTACACCTGGAACTTATGATCGAAATATATTCCATATTGAATTCGATCTGGGAAACTCTGGTCTTACCTATAAAATTGGAGAGGCTCTGGGAGTACATGCAGACAATGATACCGATCTTGTCCGCGAGTTCATCGAGTCCTATGGCTTGAGTGCAGATGACCTTGTCCAGGTACCTTCGAAGGATGACCCTAGTGTTCTGGAGACAAGGACCGTCTATCAATCGCTGGTGCAGAACGTCGATATTTTTGGCAAGCCTCCTAAGCGATTTTACGAATCACTGGCCGAATTTGCTACCGACGAGCTAGAGAAAAAGAAATTAGCTTCTCTTGGTACTCCAGAAGGCGCTGAAGAGTTCAAACGGCGAACAGAGGTCGACACCAGCACTTTTGCCGACGTATTTGATGAGTTCAAATCCGCTCACCCCAGCTTCCCCGAGCTTGTTCGTTTAGTTGGGCCTCTAAAGCGTCGCGAGTACTCGATTGCCTCTGCTCAAGCAGTAACACCGAATGCAGTCGCTCTCATGATTGTAGTCGTGGACTGGGTTGATTCTAAAGGCCGGACGCGTTACGGCCAAGCGACTCGCTATCTCAGTCGTCTCCCTGTCGGAGCTGCCGTTACTGCATCAGTTAAGCCTTCTGTTATGAAGCTTCCAGTACGTGACGATGCACCCCTCATTATGGCTGGTCTCGGTACTGGACTTGCTCCCTTTCGAGCATTCGTGCAGTATCGCGCAATGCAAAAATCTCAGGGCAAGGATATCGGCGCAATTCTCCTATATCTTGGTTCGCGCCATCAGCGCGAGGAGTATCTCTATGGTGAGGAATGGGAGGCATATCTGGACGCTGGTGTTATCACCCTTCTTGGCGCTGCCTTCTCTCGTGATCAGCCCCAGAAGATCTACATTCAGGATCGCATGCGCCAGACTATTAGCGACATTATCAAGGCATATATAGAGCAGGAGGGTTCCTTCTATCTTTGCGGTCCCACGTGGCCTGTTCCTGATGTCACCGACGTACTTAAGGAGGCTATTGCTGCTGAGGCTAAGATGAGCGGAAAGAAGGTAGATTCGACGAAGGAAATCGACCGTCTCAAGGAGGACGGGCGTTATGTGCTTGAAGTTTATTAGACGGTGCTTTTAAGTAGATTTACTTTCTCCACGAGCGATCATCATTTGCATTATGACCTTAGAGTTTACATATCCATAGACCACGAGCTTTTTTGACAATGTCATTCACTTTCCAGTGACTCTTCCCAATACCATTTCGCCATGTTGAGTAGTGACATTTTCATAGGCTTATAATTCGTCTAGCCTAAGATTTTACCATCCTATCTTACCCCCACAAAGTCTACCGGATGCAATCTTGGCGCTGGGGTATTAGTCCGAGCTACATTAAGTATGACATTTGCACAAAGTGCATTTATCACCAACCCCCACTCAAACCGCAACGCTCGTAAGTGTAGTAGGAGCCAATTAATCACTTGATCATAAGGTGAAAAGTCCCCCTTCGTGTAGAGATGGAGTGTAAGCGTACGCTGACATTAATCCCGCGGAAACACGGAGCTACCGACTGGTCATTGCCCTAACACTTTCTAGTCTCTATGATATATGCCCGTGGCCTCAAGCTAGGTTGCCTCCAAGATATCTGCATGATCTGTGGTACACAAAGTCCATTAATGTTACCCTTGCAATTTGTGGCTTAGAAAGAGACCTAACCATTTGATTATACTTGTGTGACTTTGCTTTATGTACTTTTCACAGGCTAGTCTCATGCATTTGAATACTTGACATGTCAGGAAACACAGTTGATAGTGGATGAGTGAGGGAATAATGTTAAGGTGTTGTTATCGATTCCATATTTTAACCAAAATTTCAGGATACTAAGCAAACAATATGCTTATTTACAGTATAACTAGTTAAAAGTAACCATCGGCTTTTTACTATAAGCTGCATTGCCATATATTGGCTGTATTAAAGTAGAATCCTAGTATGACCTAGGTAATCAGCTTTACGTTTATATAAAGGGATCTCTTTACTTTATATACTATAAGTTTATAGTACAATTGCATAACACCCTTTAGTACGTAATATGTACGTTGGTGCTACTAGTAAACAGATGGATCGATGGTAACTCTTGGCCATAGAAGGTAAATCCTAGTGGTTTAAGGAAAACGATCACTACGATCTTTTATTCTTTTTACCTTTAATATCGGAAACTGTGGCGAGGACCGTTCGGTCTATGACATAAAACAATTAAAAACTACATCATATTTGGGGTTTGTAAAAGTGATTTTACAAGGGGAAAAAAAAGCAAAAGATATAGTATTTATCTCGTGGCGTCATTTCTTCGTATGCACCCCTCGCCGAGGCTTGTTTTAAGAATGGGAAAAATTAACACGTTATCTTCCTGCCGAATAGATTACTGGTATGACCTATAGTAACGACTCTTCGGAGCCGAGGGTACTATACGCTTTACTCTATGACGAGGATTACCGAGATACTTTGCTGCGAGATGATAGCCAATTTAGGGGATTATGTGTGAAGATCAACCTTTAGGTCCTCAAATGAGATTATTGTCATACTGTTTTGTTTAAATAACTCCATCCATACCCAAGTACGCGCACACCCTGTTGTGTAACAAGGCCAGCGAACTATCCTCGTTGAGGATGTCGACGCCACTGGTAGATGCAAAAGATTGGTATCTAAATTGTCTGCTTAGCCAATGACCAAGAACCAGGGACATCACTATATGTAGTTTATAGGTATGCATATGGATATCCATGAGGTAGCTATCTCGAGGATACGAAGTGAGAAGTAACAGTTAAGTAGGGAAATAATTTGCCCCCGACTAGCATATAACAAGCTAAAGACTTGCTTATAGAAGCAGAGGTTATTGAAATTTAAAACTGAAAGTTACTGGAAATCATTCTCTACACAGCTTAAATATGGCAGGCTCTCCTATTCGAGTTGCTATAATCGGAGGCGGTCTCGCCGGAATGACTCTGGCCGCAGGTCTCACCAACATTCCACAACTCGATGTTCAAGTATATGAAGCCGCAGCAGATATTGCAGGGAGTCATGGTGGTTCATACATCTTTAATAGTACTACTCAGAGAAGTTTCGAACGAGTCACTCCTTCGGCACAGGAGCTCTTGCACAAAGCTGGTGCTGTCCCTAACCAGTCGTCTCGATTTATCTTGGTGAGCAAACCCACTGGTACCTACCTGATAGTTCTTGAAGTTCAACGGTTATAAACACTCAGGGTTCGGGTCCAGATATGGGCGCTATTATTTTCGACAACTGGGCTACTAAGCTGCCCCCAGTGAGTTTCCGTCGCGCTCGGCTATTGCATGAAATCATTACCCAGGTGCCCGATGATAGTATCCACACCAGTAAGAAACTGGTTGCAATTGCCTCTAATGATCACGGTGTTGAAGTTGCCTTCGAAGATGGTACAAAGGCGCATTTTGACGCAGTTGTTGGCGCGGACGGAATATTTGGCAACGTTCGAAAGTATGTCCTGGGAGATACGGTAGCCGACAAATACGCAGCTGAGCCATCCGGCTTTTGGGACATCAGAACCATACAGCCCTATGAGAAAGCAAAGGCTTTACTTGGTGAGGAGAACTTCGAGTTGGATCGCCAATTCGTATGGATTGGTAGTGGCTCGTGCATTTTACACGATGTCCTAGAGGACCGAGCTTTAGTGCAGTGCATGATATGCAGCGCCGAGGCAGAATCTCCAAAAGACAGAAGACACCATATTACTAGAGAGTACTTAATGGAAATATTTAGTAACTGGACTGATAACCCAGTTGCTAAGGGTATGATAGACGTAAGTTACATAATAGCGTTAGCAACTCTCTCACACGAATCAAAACTAACGACTTGGAAGCTCGTGCTAGACTGTGAAAAGCCATATGGCTACTCGCAGTGGGAGCATAGGGAAACACCTACCTACTCGAATGGACGTGTCTGCATCATCGGAGACGCAGCTCACGCAACAAGTTCGTTTCATGGGTTCGGAGCTGGGACATCAATCGAAGATGCCATGGTTCTGAAGGCACTATTTCATAATATATCGTCGCCTGGCGAAATTGAAGCCGCGTTCAAAGCGTTTGATAGCGTTAGGCGGGCTAGGTCGCAGAGGGTCGTCAATTCTAGTAGAGAAATCGGAGACATCTCCCTTGAGCGCCACTCCGAGGCGGACAAGTTCAGACGAGCACTTGCTCCTAAGTTTGACTTTATCGATGCCATCGACTACGAGGAACATGAGAAGGAGGCGGTGAACAAGATGAAGGAAATTCTAACTTCTTAACTGGGTAACTAGTATGGTTACATAGAGCAGTACACAAGGAAAAGGGGTACAAATCTTGGCAACTATCGGAGTGGAACTCAAAGCCAACATTTTCAGCAATCTAGGTAGATCACACAACTGTAGCCAACAACTACATGGATCGTTCTAGTTCTCAGAAATTCCTAAACTAACGAACTGCTTCAGTTTAATTTCCCCGAATACTATGAGCATTTATCAATTAGTCATAACTCTGATCACTAGGACACTTTCTTCTATCTCATTTAGCAACAATGAAAAGCTGGCGAAACCCCTATTAAGCCAGGTACATTACTAAATGTCTTAACAAGCGTGTATATGTAAGTTAAACTACATCTTAATGCTACAGCGGTATGTTCGACAGATAATTACAGCTTTAACTATCACTAAGACTAAGATCTGATTAGCTAAAATTGAAGCAAAACACAAAAGGGGCGATAAAAGTGGATCGAATAGGGGTCCGAATAGCCTCGTTTTAATTGATAGCTGAAAGAATCAAAACAATTTAATAAGTTTAGCTCAACACATTTAACTAACTTAACTACATATTAGCCATGTTTCTGTTTATCTCCTATTGTTCTACCTTTCAACATGAGTAGCTCCAAAGCCCTAAACGGTGCTCGCCGTTGAGTCTAGTCTAGATGCGTGGGCAGACGTATGTGCCTGCTCTTCGTCTTCCGGTTTCCCCCGAGGCCTATTCAAAAGAGCCCTTAAGTGGTTTAATTGCCCCGATTGCGAAGCCAGAGGATCTTTGGCGCTATGGGGTGGTGATGGTGCTGTGGTTAACTTTCCGATACCACCCAGGATTCGTTCCAAGGAGAATACAATCGTAAACGTCACGATGAACGATACGACAATAGCGATAACGAATCCCGGTAGTCCCATCTTTGGAATAAGCACATTTTGATCAGGCGGGATCGCGAAAATAGCCTAGGCCATGGTAAGTTGAAATAATAAACGTATTATTGAAGGTAAGTTACCGTCATTAGACCTAGGGGCAAGTAGCCTATAGTCAAATATGTCAATTTTTTAATGATCGAGTTTTGAGAAATTGAGTTTCTACTGTCTTCCAAGGACCAAATAGTGGAGAGCTATATCTATATGAGAATCTTTGCATAACTGGTCAATGTAAGAGGTAAGTATTGAGACTTACATAGTCTTTATAACGAGAGTTTAAATTGACAATCTGATTAAACCTCGCGTTTAACGCAGCTAACTGGCCAAGGTTTCTTGAGAAATCGCCCAAGGAGTCTTGACACATTTTTTCAAGTACCTCACCTCTTTTGCCTGGACCCTATGACAAACGCATTAGTACCTTAAGCAAGTAGGCAAAAATGTTAACATCACGAGCATGCTACCAACCTTGTTAATCTGATTTCTCATTTCAGTTGCTGCCTCCTTAATAACGGTTATGGAGTCTGTGAGGCTGTTGCGTAATTCTATCAATGATTCCAGGCTCCATAAACTGAGTTTCAACTGGTTTAATGACTCCCCATCCTTAAGCATATCTTCGTCGTCGAATATTACCTTTTTCTGTTCTTGGCTAAGCTACGAAGTCAGAAAAGTGTTAAAGGAGTACTTACATCAATCTCAAGTGTTTGGGTGAAGTAATCCATGGCCTTTCGGTAGTCGTCTTCCATTTGTTGGCACAATAGCCCTAATAGGGCTAGAAAGACAAGACAACGAGCACTTTGGGGTTGATGAATGAACTTTTCCCATAATGCTCGGCATTGTTTATTGACGTCCTCCCACCTTGAGCCCAGCCGTTCCGAAATGATGGTGCATTGACTGAAGTCGCCGAATTTATTTGTAGATAGGACAATAGAAGAAATCTTCAATTCCACGACAATTGGTACTGCTTGTTTTTCACCTACAGCCTTTTTATGCAGGTCTTCAAGTAAATGCGGTACTGTGATCGGTTCATTTGACCTTGCCTTGAATATACTATCTTGATAGTCGTTATTTTCTTTCCTACCCTTCTGTGTAACCTTTGACATTGACCAGCCTCGGACGGTTATTCGTGCGCACCAGGTGTTGCTGATTTGACAGGAGAAGTCGGGCAATGCCGAGGCATGGCCAACAAAACAGTCACTGGAGTCTACATGGAAGGCCTGCCAAAATAGACTCAGGAAACGACGTTCGAATATCCTTTCGAAAGGACTGTTATACAGTTAGTTCGGAATCGAGTCAGAATAACTACAGCCTTTTTAGAAAACCCACGTTGACAAGATAATCGTTCGATGTTGAACACCTTGGTCAACAAGCTATAATATTTTGTCAGTCCTGATCGGTATAAGGAAGTACGTAAATATTGAGACGTCTTACACTACTCGAAAATCTTTTCCTTATTTTAGCGTTGGTATTGCTGTCCCGTTTCCTATCAGTGACACGCAATATGTCACTATTATACCCTTGCCAAGTATAATTACCCCATTGCTCAGGTATAGTGGCTTTAAAATCGACGATGGAAAATGTATGTTCCTTGAGAATTTCTTCAACATTAGAAGATTTCTGTTCTGGAATAGATTCCCGTCCACTGCTTGTTTGCGGCCGGTGAGACAGAAAGATCTTTAACTTTTCCTGAGTCTCTTCAGAACTAAGCCTTTCTAGTGTATTATCCAGTGAGTTGAAGAAGCTCAACGGGTGATACTTTTGAGGAGGTCGGTACTTCTTCCATTTAATTGCTGGCTGCTTTCCGGATGCTTCTAGCCTGGCTAGAATTCTCTCTGTTGAAGAAGTTTTATTTCGTATTATGACCTTGAGGTCACCGATCTCGCTCAACTCCATAGCCGAACACGAAGAACGGTCATCTGCCGTGCTCGCAGAACTTGCTGAATCTAGATGCAAGTCTTTATTGTAGATACTCAGTAGGGTAGATGCCAAGACGCTCGTTGCCTCCGATTGAAATGAAGCCTTATTTGTCCTTTCCCAGCATGGAACAAGGCATACCTCCCCGTTGATAAACTGGGAAATATTACGCCTGCTTTTCTCAATATTTTCAGCAATTTGCTCCCGGAGATTGCCATCGACCTTTGTGTATTTGTAACTATTTGCAGACAGCTGACTGTGGTGACAGAGCGCATAGATCTCCCAAGGGCCGGTGGTTGGCCCTCTCACGCCATCCTGGAGACGACCCGGATTAAGGCTTCTGGTGGGATCACGACCTAAAATATATTTGGCCATAGTCATCGCGACCGAACCTTGCGATCTGGAGTTTTCTGCTCTTAGAGACTTAGCTAAGAACCCTAGTCTGTCCAGAATCTCGTTGTCGGCACAGAACGGTACATTAGATGATAGTTTCTCTGCCGCGATACGCCTAACGTATCTTTCCATTTGCTTGACCTTACTTCTGAGGTTCGGCTCCTTGCACACTTTAGGAAGAGGTTTCTGTCTTTCTAATAGGTTCATAACCGACACGTAATGATACCACTTCAAGAACGCCACTTTATCCTTTGTGCCGTCTTTTGGCACTAGGTGATCGGGGGCGAGGTAATCATCGAGGGGACTTTGTCCTTGGGTCCAATCCCACGCAATTTTGAAATTTTCGCATTTCCTTACAACATACCATATTGAAATTGTTATATAGTAATAGTTCGAATGGAAAGCTTTGGATGAATGCGGAGGAAGGTTAGTTCTTAGCCCCGGTCGGAGAAAAGCGAGGACAATGTAAGCAATGACTTGTTCTATGTGCACTTGAAGCCGCTCCATTTGGGATATAATAATGCCGTTCAGAGCACGTATCTGATCCGAAGAATATTCGGGGCGGTAGATAAAGATGCCTTTTCTCGGGACACTAGATTGGCTTGAACCCAGTGATTTAACACTGATCGTGTCCTGACTCTCATCTAGCTGCGGAACTGAAGAATCATCTCTTGGAGTAATGGTGATTTTTGATAAAAGCCGGTAAGTTTTGACAAGGAAGCGTACATTCCAGCTGTATAAGATGTGAGCAATCGGTCTTATTTCTTCAAGTTCATGAACTACTTACAATAGTGATTGGAGATCAATTGTTGGCCGCACGAACAAATTACTGACTAGAGCTAGGGCGTCTTCTTGGAAACTAGTTCCATGATTTGTAGAAAAGGTTGTTGGTATAAGTTCGACCGTTAAGATCTTCTCCATGCAACGTCCGATTAAATCAACTTCTGATAACCCAGAATAACGAGCAATTTGATCTTCTCGATATTGAAATATAACATCCCACATAGTCGCTGTAGCCATCGTACTGTACGGATCAACCCCAAGATAGTTATACGTTTCCTCTGAAGTCGGTGTTTTAGGCCAAGGCTGTTCATGTTCTGCTTTTCGCAGTCTTAGTTCGGAAATAAATACAACATGTGTATCATTAGATTGCTGTCCTTTTGGCCTTTGTGATTTTGTTTCTGGTAGTTTTGCGGATATATAGAATGAACCCATACGCTTGCCTATGCCACACTCATTCTCCTTTTCAGATGGGGTTTCCAGATGCAATAACTTGTACTCATCGCCGCATAGTTGGTGTACTCGAAATTCCAGTTGAATCTTATTCATATTGTCCTCAATGATTCCAAGGTGTGACCTAACTGTGGTGTATTTGACTTCTGTGTCGCTGTCGCCTGTGCTGAATATCCCGAATTTAATTGGCCCTCCAATAGAAAGGATGAGCTGACCATCCCAACGCGAGAGGGTACATGAATCAGCTTCCGGGCGACATCCTTTCTCAAGTCTAATTATTTGGTATAGGACATCATCCTTGACGAATGAAACAGTCGCGCACTGTAGGTAGCGTTTGGAGGTCAGTAAATGATTTGTTTCTAATCCGGCCAAAGAAAAAGAAAAAGGCTGTGAGTAGTAATTTAGGGTCATCCATATTTTATCCTAAGAATATCGAATCCGATTTGGCATTAAATGTGTGTTCAGATGAAGGGTTTAATGTATGATAATCTATGCTCTTAGGGATATTTACCGTTCCTGTCTCACGATGATCTGGCTCGCCATATTTATTCAATAGTAGAATATATTCGTGAAACGGCCAGCGATAGTTAAAGCAGCCCCTTTCAATCATATCTCCAAGTTCGAACATAGAAGGCGGATCTTTCGAGCCATCTCTTTGCTGGAACAGCTCCTGATTATCCGGTATCCTGAGACCAAATGTAGCATTTACCACCTGTTGTCTTTGTGCGCGGGAAAGAGATGAGTGGTACGTATGTTTGAAGCCACCATGAGCAAATATAACACCTTTTGTCTTGTCTCGGGCGCTCATATGGAGCAGGCCTCCACCATAGTCGCAAGATGCGGCATATCCATTATCACCAAAATCAAACGAACAAGCAGAATCATTGGAGAAGTCTATATAGTTGATATAAGTAGAACCTAAGATCGATTATTCAAATTAGTTCTTGTAATTGCACCAGCCTGCTGTGAATTTATTATGCCTAAAAACTTACAACGATCCTGACGGCGTAACCAGTTGAAGGATTTCGGAACATCTGGATCTGCCTTTGAAGCCATGATAAAAATGTTATGATCAATAGAATGACTTTGGTATAAATGGAGAAGTGATATTGATGTAAAAAGGCTAAAGTAATCTCATTTTATTTGCGTTGGGGATGAGTATTAGGGCTTGGTTTTTATAATACTTCATACTATGAACGTAGTATGCATGCTAGATTAGGACCGGTAGTGTTTATTTACTTCGTTAAAACTTAATGTAAGCAAAGTTGATTACAAGACCTCTGACCATCAATCTCGGTGACTCGTCTCGGATAATGATCCGGAGTAATTTTTATGAATGTACCAGGTCTTTACACATTATTGACAGCTGAACTTGCTAGTAGGGTTACATTCAGGGGTTTGAATTTGATAACTCACATGAAAAATTTGAGCGGCTGAAAATATTCCTTGCAAGGTAGGGGTAATAATATTCACGTTCCAATCTTTTTCAAAGCCATTATCATCGTGGAAGTGGAACTGCATTCACCGGTAAACTTGCCTTGTGGGAATTGATTTGTAACTCAATGCGGCTCTATAAACCGGTGCTTGAAACTTCCTAGAAGGTTAATTGTCTTTAGAAAGTGAGACTTGATTGAAATAATATCCTAAACCAACCCCTGACTACTTACGCGTAACGGATCGGAATAAGGGGCCAATACATTTACTCAGCCCTTCTTGGCGTATGCAACAATAACAATCGTCTCCTTCTCTCTCTTAATATCCAAGCCATTCCAGCCCCGGGCCCCCCAATTGCTGTAATAGTTACAAGTGTCAAAAGGGGGTTATTACCACGAGTTCTTCCGGCGAATACCTTGTCCAAAATGAAGGAATATTTCCAAGGATGACAACGGAAATATTGAGGAATACCTACCTAGGTAGGTATCTATACTGGATGAAGTGGTGAGCTGATTCGGCGATCTGAGTTGGGCTTCCACGTTGTACAAGACCGGGATTTGGGATGTAGGGTGTAAGCAAACTGAACTTTGGGGACGTAAGCGCGAGAATAACAACGGCCCAATGCACCATGGCACTAGAAACACCAACGATATAGTAAGAAAGAACCGCTGGACTCGAAAATATGTCACCAGTTCTGGCTACGGTATTACTGACGAGATCTTAGAATAGTCCTACGACAAGACGACAAAAAAATATCATGCAGTGCCGTACGCGACCTGCGAGGGTAGCTATGATAGATAAGTTTCCAATGTTTAAAGAGTTATAGGGAAATATAAAAGGAAAGAAGAGCTTGAGATTAAATTAAGTCCATTTATCAATAGCAACCCCTATCATACTCGGCACTTAGCATTAATTAAACCTAAACTTAAAAGCACTACTTTAAGAAAAACAACGATTAGTAACCGCCACATCGTCAAACGGTACGCGATACTTTGGTTTTATTAGTTGATTGAAATTTATAAGTTGTTTGGTTTCGGATTTTCCAAGGCATTGAAAAAGCTCGGATAGCATTGACTAGCTTCAACTCAATAGTGCAAGCGGATTTCGGCTGCATAGCGCTTCCACGTCAGCTTACGATAAATCCGGTTTAACATCTTATCTTTATAACGAACTCGTACACGGGAATCTAGCGGTGAACATCTTCTAGCTTTAGTTGGTGAACTTCGAAACCAATGGGTTTTAATAATGGTACTGCAAACGTTTATTCCTAACAAATAACGAAGAGTTTGTTAAGCAGCTCCCTAGTGTTTAGTATAGACTCAAAATGTTGAGCAGATTTTCTAACCTATTATCACTGGTAGGTTATTGAAGACACCGTATCGTCGCAAATTAATTTATACCCATGCAAGACTATATGTAATCATCAACCACTGTGCAATATTAATCATTTGAAACTTTAGTATGGAAGATGAAGACGCTCGGCATCGTATAATCCTTAAGAACGTTCTTAATCTCTCCTTCACTTATTTGCCCCGTCAGATGACTAGACTTGTTGGCCGCGCGGTTATAAATAATATCCCGATAGCCTTATGCTACTAATGAATCTACAATCCATCTCCTTGGTTCTCCTTTATATTGCTAATCATTAGATGTTTTAATAGTGTTTAAGTATTCGACCTACTTTTTCTCTACTTGACTCTCACACTCCCTAAATGTACTTTATCCTATCATTGAAGAATTGTCTGTAAATTTTTACTTCGCGGCAGTAATACCTAAGGCACTGAGCCTTAGATTAGGTACTTTTGTGAGTTCACCGGCGGTCCAAGCTGTGTCCAAGAGTTGGCGGTAGCCGTGCGTACCTAGGTACCTCTTAAGGCTGTACGTCAACACATTATTCGGAGGGGTTTCAATTAGCTCAAACCAGCTATTATTAGAAACATTTCAAAATCACTTCCAAGGTTCTATTACGTAGTTGGGAGAGGATTCAAGATACCTCAAGCACCTCTTATGTTAACTTGTAGCTTCAACAAAAACACATCTTAACCATAAGGTGTTCTCGAACGTGTATAGTTATTTGATATAGTTAAAGCTATTTCATAGTTTCTATCAAGATTCAAGAGAGATGTCTTAGAGCTTACTATATTGTAGGCGATTGATTATTATGAAGACATCGTGACTAGTCCTTCCTACATGGGTTAGAATCACAGCGGGACCCTTGCCATGTCGACCCCACGGTTCAGGAGCGCATACGCTACTCTCGGCCCCGCAAAGGATCTCGAAACATTGTTTAGACCCATAATAAGCACGTAATATTAATGAAAGAGTCGATGGAAATGGGGGGGGGGGTTGATATTAGCCGCTAGTTCACCTTGTGTTAGGATTCAAGAGCCTGTCAAGAAATGCTTCTAGATTGGACCTCATGGAAGGATGTCGTAAAAGCCTGCGCTAGTAGTCGAGCTCACGTCAGTCAATACACCCCCGCCTTCGGGCATAAAAAACTAAACAATACATGAAAATACCTTTTTTTCTTTCTTGTCTTCCCGGGAATATATCGTATGGGGCATCAAAAAGAAAGCTGCCTGAATATACGTCAACACAACAACATGTTACATGTTACTGAGCCGCTCTCTGGAAAAAAGTAAGAAGTTCAAGACACGTGGGCTAGCGGACTGACATAAGACGAAAAGCCATGTGGATGTGATTTGGGACGTGATTGATAATGTAGGGCGCTGCGTGGTTTGGCGCCTCACAGTCTCACATAACTTATGTGATGCGAGAGTTAGTAATTGGCTCGCATCCACGCACCCAATCTACGAGTCTATGAGATGGCTGCTCTTTTTAAGGCATTGATTGTTACACAGAACGTGGCAGTTGGTTGTTTCGATACGACCTTCTATGCATGCCATATACCTTAGCTTCCTCTCCTGGGTACCTAATCGACTTTGTATGTGCAGGACTTTAGTCGAGATCCTTCGAGATTTCCTCTAGTCGTTTCCGTCACTAGCACAGATCATGCTTCATTAACTCCTCAAGATAACTAAGACTAAGACAATTATATCTTACCAATATTACAACTCTTCCACCGAAGATAGTTCTGTACCTGGGGGCATTAGAATAGGCCTAGCCAATATGATGACTTGGTGATGCTGACCCATCTTATACGCCTATCAGCTCAGATCTTGGCGGTCCAGTAGACACGCAGGGCGAGTAGGCTTTTATAAAAAGACACAGCCTGCTTACGGGTGTTACATGATGCCACCCTGCCATTCCTCAGCTGGCCTATAGTGCTGAGTCGAGGGGGTCCGTTTCGACAACTTCTTACCCACTTACCACGTTGATTCGCATGCATGTCAGCCCGCCGGCCACGCATTCTGCCCGAGGGGCTGCTGCTCCAAGTAGATGAATTGATTGAACCTAATGTATAGATAGAGTTCTTACCCACTCGTTCGCGGCCATGTGTCGGCTTGGGAGGACTTCGTTCTTTATAACCATTATTTGCTGCTCCGACAGCAATCTCCCGTTTTCACTTCGCTCTGGCCCTAGGACGACTCGAGCGATGTGGGAGGGGTTGTCCGGCGGGAAAATCTGAATTTAATGGCGGTCCTCTCATTGATAACCTCGGCCAAGTTGGATACGTCCCTTGACGTGCCCGCCCTCAATCCGCCGAATGATATCACATCAAACTTTGGCCATCCGCCAAACAAAAACTACATTTCCCAAGCCGTAATACCAACATGTTTGGCTCTCACAACTATAGCCGTCCTTCTCAGGACATGTCATAGGCTGTTCTGTGTCAAGAAAATTGGGTTTCCTGACAGTAGGTTACTCACCAACTAGATTTTATTATTTACCTAGGTATTCTAACATTCAGTTCTAGTATTAATGTTAATATCTCTTGGCTGTTATATCGTATGTGCATACCTGAATTATCGGCTGGTAGAGGACCCTGGCGCCTTCGTTCATCAATGGGATGTCCTACTAAAGAACATGTCGGATATCCTCTTTCCCCTATTCCTCAGTGGTAGTTTCTACATCGGAGCTGTTCTGGCAATAAAGGCGGCAATACTTCTGGATTGGATCCGTTCACTCATTCCGTACGGCGTGCGGAACAATTTCTTCTGGTTCTGTTATGGCGTGCTGGGCGCGAATGTCATATTCTACATCGTAACTCTCTTCCTCATGAACTTCGCCTGCGTTCCTATTGAGAAAAATTGGAACCACCTATTCGTCGGCGGCTCCTGTCCGGTCAACAGGAAGGCCCTCAGCATCTCGTCAGCTGTGCTGAACCTTTGCTCGGATATATCAATTCTGCTTCTGCCGCAGCACGTCATCTGGCGCTTGGACATGTCAACAAAAAGAAGAATCGGCGTCTGTGTTATCTTTGCTATAGGTGTTTTGTATGTGCGAACGGTTATATCTTCCATACTTCTATATTTCCATTCGTGCTTTTGCTCTATATTATCTTATGTTAAGCTAGGCTTACTCTTTATGTTATCCTTTCTTTCGACACGTCTGAATTTGGTGGGCGACAGAACGCTAATATCAGGAAACACTACAGCTGCTGTGCTTCAGCAGGGTTACGCCTTCGTGCGATACTCAACTATTCTAGGTCAGATGATATAATCTACTACACGGCACCTGTGATGCTCTGGGCTCTTGCCGAGATGACTTGCATGTTCCTCATTTTCGGTACTCCAAGCGCAGTCAAGATCCTGCCGGAAATTCGGTTTCTTGACCGGTTTACTTCATCACCACGATCGCTTGGAGAACGACTTACTCGACGCTCGGGTTCCAGAGCTGGTATACCGTCATGGCCTGGATCAGATATGATAAATAACCCACAAGCGAATTCATCATACGCGTACTATCGCAGGATAAACAATTTCAATCGCGGCGTGGTTCTGACAACGATAGGCTCTCAGGGAAATATGCGTTCCGATTCTATAGAACATCTCAAGGACCATGTAGTAATACAACCCCCTGAACGCGGAAAGATAATGCGGACTACACACTTCGAAACGCACGAGGAATATGGAGATTTTGAGCGCGACTTAGCTCTATGCGATGGATATGACCGCCAGCATCCCTGGGCAAAGGACCGTATCTAGAAATGCGGTTCTTTCATATAGATTAATACACGTTTTAATCTTGATATCGAATTTCAATACCTTTCACATCACTGATACGATGCCATTCTGTAATGGTCCAGGGCATAGGAGCCAGAAGAGATTAACGCAATTTCGTACATGCATAACAGGTTATACCCTGACTAACTCGTTGATCTTAAAGTGCTAACTAAAGATCTTCCTAGAAGGGTGTAGCCGTCGCAACCTAGGCTTTCCCTTTAGCAACGTTTGTGTCAGTCCCTGTCTTGGGGTTACTGCTTGCATCCCACTTCGAATACAAGTCCTGGGGGAGCATCTTCTTCTGGGTTGAGAGTTTCGATAGAATCAACTTGCGTTCCCTGGCGTCATACCTTAGTGTCACACTCTCGTTACAATCCTTCACGATTTTGACGATTTTGCGGATCAACGCAGCCAATTTTCTCAAATGCCTTTGGTTATCCTGTTCCCATCTCTTGATTTGAGCGGTGACATCTTCCACCGTTGGAATCTGGAACACTCCACGCTGATGATAAGCTCGTACTAGCCTAGGGGTCTGTGATACCCAGAGTTGTGGTGTGACCTCACGAATATCGAGGGGCTTGTGGGACACGCGAGTTTTGATTTCAAGCGTCGAGTTGAGAGAAACTGCTTGGCCATCTTGTTGGACAACTAGCTTCGACCCCTTAGTAGTAGTAGTCCCTGCATTGCTGTTCGTCGGCGACAGAGACAGTGATTCGAATACGCTTGTCAGGTCAACAGGCGACTGTACTTTATTGGTTGAAGACGACGATGAGCCCGCCTTAGTATCCACATATCCGTCTGTCTCGTGGCGGACGATGATGCTCAGTCCACCAAAGCGATACGAGATGATTCTATAGTGTCCAGTACTACCAACAATCTTATTAGTTGTACAGGCCTTTTCGAATTCGTGTCCAAACCCCCTAAACTCATCAGGGCCGATAAACTCATGGGTGGCAGTTTCATCGCGGCTGAATATCGCAGTATTCTTGTTAACCTCGATGTTGATAGTGAACTCCTCGAGTCCGTTTCTGGAAGCAGTAGGATCAATAAAAGTCAGAAGTTTGCGGATATTATTTCGATCAGTCACAACATCAACGGATTGGATGTCGAAGGAGGGGTCTGTTATGTAGAGAGCACGGAATAGGGGCTCAAGCGGACTGTCGGGGTGACGAGCCGCATTTTGGGCAATATAGATAAGGCCGGTGTCCTTTTTTAGCCTCTGAGGAACCTTTGGGGCATTCCAAAGTGCTGGGCTACCAGGGACAGCTATGGTAGGGTTAGGTGATTCAATCCAATTGTATGAAGACAAGTATTTGACATCAGTGATTGATGCAGTAGGGGGAGCATCGAGGTCTTGAAGATCTAAGGGAGAAATCTTTGCGATAACTTTGGACGACATTGTTCGATATGGTGTTGAAATAATTAAGTTAGAAGAAGCCTTAAGGTAAATCGAATGAATGGGATTAAACTGAATGAATGGAATATTGTGAGAAGAAGGAACATGAGGAGGAATATAATAGGTATAACCCCGCTATTTTGACAATAATACAAACATTCTGCCTGGTCAGCCTGCCTTCGTATAACTGCCTCTTAGGCCTCAAAATATATGCGGTCGCACAGCATAGCCTGCCTGCCTTCCATTCTTTCAAACGGTCACATTAATTCACACGATTTGTTTCTGAGGCCCAATTAATAAACCATATGATGTGGGGAACTGCCTATGCCGGTAGCCGTCACTGCCATAATATGCTGTGAGCCTGCCAGGCCTCCTATGTCAAGATTTAACTATGGAATGGTGAAACGTGCTAGCTCAATAAACAAGGCAGGCTTTAAGAAGGAACAGTTTGGCTGAATACCTAACCTAGGTGTCACATGACCTAAGGTCATTAGACCCACTTAGTGTACACATAAGTATACACATCTTATAAATATTAGATATTCTTCCTAGATATTTTATAATATAATAATAATAAAGATAATATAATATATTATTATAATTAATAATTCCATTATTTCTTTTACTTTTATTAACATAAGACCATACAATTTAAAACGGGAAAACCAAACCAAATTAAACCAATTAAGTTATTTACTAGATTTATTTATTCAAGCCATTATCTACTAAACAATCCTTAAACCTAAATTATTATCTACCTAACAATCTTTACCGTCCCGATTATCTGCCCTATAAACATCCACTTAATCAATTAATTATACCTTATAATTTTAACAATATCATACATTAAATATAACACTTATATTAAATACACAACTATTAATTTATTAATTACTTTAATTTTTTTAAATTAATTATCCTTATATTTTAAAAATTCGAAAAAAAAACGTTATTTTTATTTAATTAATTTTTTCTTTAATAAATCTATTTTTTATTTATAAAACATTAAATAATATTATTTATTTAATTAAATAAATAAAATTTATTTAATTATTATATATTTTTTTTTAATATTTAAAAAAAAAGTATATAAAAATATAATTTTAATTTATCTATTAATTAAATAATAACTTTTTAATATTAATATTTTTTATTAAATTAATTATTTTTATTCCATTAAAAAAATCATTTATTAATTTATTAAATTTTTTATTATTTTATAAAAATCTTTAAATTTTTTAAAATCTTACCTTATAAACTTTAAAATAATTAAAATAATTTAATTATTTAAAAAATTAAATTAACATTAATTAAATATTTAATAATAATTTTATATTATTTATTAAATAATTTTATAAAATTAAATTATAATTTTTATTATTAAAAATTTTAAAAATTTTTATATAAAAAACTTCTTTCTTTATATTTACTTAATTTGATTTTATTAAAATTAAAAAAGTAATTATTCAATTATAAATTAATTTATAATTTATATAATCATTAATAATACCAAATAATAATAATATTTTAATTAATCTTTTTAATAATTAATCATTTTTTAACTAAAATTATTTTAATCTTAATATTTTTCTTATAATAACCTTTACAGTAAATTTATTTACTTAAGCTTTTATCCATTTTAATAACTAAAATATTAATTTTAATATTAATAATAATTTAAATTATAATAATAATAAATAAAGTAATGAAAATTTCTTTAAAATTAAAAATATTAAATACTTTAATCTTAATCTTAAAAATATGGAAAATTTAAATTTCTTTATTATAAATAAATATATTATTTATATAAATATTTATACTTTTATAAACTGTTTATTAAAATTAATAATTTTTTATAATAATATTAAAATTAAATAAATTTAAATAATATATTTATAAAATGTAATATAAGAATAGTTAATAATTAAATTAATAAATTTTAAAAAATAAATTTTATAAATAAGAAATATTGTTTTTATTGTTTAAATTTTAATTATAAAATTTAAAAAATAAAATATTTAAATAATATTAAATTTATAAAAATATAAATTCACCATATTTAATCTTTATAAAGATAAAAATCTTTAAACCTTTATTTATAATATTATTTAAAATATTAAAGATTATAACCTTCCCTTATTTAATTAATTATTTAATACATTTAATACCTTTAATTTTTACATATAATTACAATTTTAAAAATTTAATTTAAATATTATATTTAGTTAATTCCTAACTTATTTAAATAATTACAAACTTATTTTATAAAATTTTATTTTAATAATATATCTTACCATCTTTAAAAATCACAAAAACCATAAAAAATATAAATAAATGGATTATTTTATTCCTATATTTCAATTTATATACTATAATAAATATTTTTATAATAATTTTAAAAATAAAATTATTAATAAATATTTATTATAATAATATCAAAATTATTGTAAAAATTAAAATAATTATTATTATAATTGGTGAAATAATAAAAAATAATATAATAATTATAATTTTTAATAAAATTAATAATATGGTTAAGTTTAATAATAAAGATATCTTAACTAAAAATATTTTAATAGTTAATTATTATAATAATAAATATTAAATTAATAAATTTTAAATAATTAATAATAAAATTAAAATTAATAAAATTAATAAAATTAACG